GTATATTTTGTGGGAAATCATGTAATTTGTATATCATCTATGGAAATACAGGTAGGTACTGTGTTCCAATCAGTAATTGGCAGCTACTTTTTGGGCTTATGGGGATGAGGTGAAATACCAAAAAATATATTTCTGAAATTTAAAAAAACAAGAAAATTACTCCCATGAAATATGTTTTTAATTAAACGTAAAGTGGCTGAACGAAGATACCTGTTTCTTTCTTTGCCATTTGTCGACTCTTCTGAAGGTCCTGATTTCTGTTGGTCCCCTGGATTTCAATCACTTTACATAGGGGATGAGTCATCAAGGGAGAGAGTAGGCTGAGAGCGAAGGATCATAGCCTACTAGCCTTTTCCTATCTTTGTTAGAGGCAGAACTGCATGAACCAACATCCAAATCAAACCTGAATTTAAAATTTGTTTCTAAAACGTCAATGATTTTAAGGCTAAGACCATTTGAAATTTTGTTCTTAATCACATATTAATAATAATAATCCTTCCATTTGATATAGTGCCTTATGTCGTTGAGACATCTCAAAGCGCTTCACAGAATATACCGTAAAATGAATTAACTGTATATATTGTGGGCAAAACGCAGCAACCAATTGCACACAGCAGTGTACCACAAACATTCTTGGATTGAGTGACCAAATTATTATTTTATTTATTTATTTTGAAGGAATTATTACCCTGGAAAGCGATCCACTAAATCAATTAACATCCAGGTTCCTACTTACTGCTAGATAAACAGAGTTTCACCCTGCCCGGAAATCGAATCCGTGTTTTCTCGCTTGCCAGGCAAGTGCTCTAACCAATATGACCCTATGTGCTAATATTAACATATTAATGATTTACTGGATTAGAGAACCTTATCGGATAGTTCTTTAACTGGCTGGGATAAAATGACTGTACCAGGAGCTCAAATAGCTTCAATGTCCCTGGATTAAATAGTTGTGGAGTCCTGTAGTTCAGTGGTTAGAGCACTTGCCTCGCAAGCGAGAGACCTGGGTTCGATTCCCAACAGGGCGAAACTTTGGGAAAGTTTCCTTACTCCACATGCTTCTGTTTACCTAGCAGTAAGTAGGAACCCGGTTGTTAGTCAATTGGCGGATCACCTTTTCATGAGTAATAATTCCTTCAAAAAAATAATAAATTGGTCACTCAATCCACAATGGTTTGAGGGTCACTGCTGTGTGGAATTGGCTGTTGTGTTTTGCCCCAAAAATGTACAGTCAGTTCACTTTAGAGTATACTCTGTGAAGCGCTTTGAGACTTCTCAAAGACAATGATTAGGCGCTATATCAAATGCAAGGATTATTATTATTATTAGACACCACGCATCAGCTAAATTTACCCTTGTACTATTTTGCAAAAAGGCTAATGGAAAAGAATTGTGAAATCTCTTTGCATTCAGTAATCCAAAACGCAGCAGTGATTGCTAGGGTTTCTTGGCATATTCTTTTTAAATAAATAATCCTTACATTTGGCAGAGCATCCTTCACATTCGGGGAACATCGCAAAACACTTCACAGGATATACTGTAAAGCACAATGACTGTGTTTTGTGGGTGAGTGTTTTTTTTACTTCTAAGCAGAGAGATGTGATTAACAGTATTTATTCCCCTCTTCTGCCCTAGATCTCCCTGGCTCATGTAACGTAGCAGATTGAAGAGCAGATGGACAACCTGCTCCCAGGCCTCTTCCAATGTTATTTCTGGAGCTACTGACCAATCAGGTCACCATTAAACATACAAGAAACATATACACCTTCCTTGGTGTCATGAGGTGGCTATCCTCTCCACAATTGCATTGCTGACTTCCAATAACTCCCTTTGCAAAAGGCTGTGATGTGAGCCCCCAGGCTTGCTATTCCTTGGCAAGGGCATCTCATTGCTAACTTTCCCTGATGTTTCTTGCTGGGTCTGGACTGCCACAGCTCCTGTAAAATGTCATAAAAATAATTCTTGCATTTGATATAGCGTCTTATCATGTCTTTGAGACGTCTTCAAGTGCATTACAGAATATACTATAAAGTGACTGTATATTTTGTGGGCGAAACACGGCAGACAATTGGGCACAGCAGTGTCCCACAAACAGTCGTGGACAACCATTCCCTCCCATACAATAGTGATATTTGCTGCATCATCTACACCTGCAGGGTTGCTTCATTTAAACATCTCTTTAGTCGTGGTACTCCATCATTTGTATTTATTTCCTTTTATATCTATGGTACGAAAAAGCCTTATTGTACATAGCATTTCTCGGCGAGTACACCAGACTTCATAATGCAGTTCAATTTCGCTCTTCATGCTTCACTTGACAATCCAATTATAAAACTGTATTCTTTACTAATTCATTCAGCCAATAAAGTGCATCTATAGAGCACCCTTCGTGTGGGTTAGCATCTCAGAGCACTTTAAGCTCACAGCATAGCCACAACACAAAACTTCCCTTAGCAACCACTGAACAGAAAAACAGTTAAAATAGTCCCTACATGCAATACCATGGCAACATCATTTTTTTTGCTGTTTTGAAGCCACAGGACAGCATCTCATCACTGCAACATCATGTCACATCATCTTAAACCAGGGTAAATCTGCTTAATTATTTGATGGTTTACTGCCCTATTCCAAGCTATTATTTGTGTATTAGTATTATTTGTGTTTAATTTCATTTATATCCAAAGTGAGACAGTCATTCTAATGTGTGGACACTACATCAAAACACTTGAATAGCAATAGGTTTCGTCAGTGATGTATAGTGTAGGATATATTTTGAAAAATTCCAAAAATTAAGACCAAAATAATATAATAATAATAATATAAATAAATATTAATCGTAATGACATTTTTTCCCTGGGAAATTGAGTTGGCATTTTTTGAAAATTTATCTTCTATACTAATAAAAATACAAAGTCTGTCAGCCAAGATCTCAATAACCCCATCAGAAAGGCCTTGTATTGGGAGTGTCATGGGCATATTATGTTTGAGATCTCCTTTCTTTGAAGAGTTATGACCTAAACAAACTCATCACACATGCATGGCAGTTTTGCGCTGCAGTTATACCTGGTAGCAATGCCAACTCAGTGGTACTGTGGCATCGTTCGTCAGAGCATATACACACGCATTCAGACGATGCCAAGCGGCGGGAACAAGATAAAGATGCTAAGCGACCAATAATCCTTTCAAGTATGAATAAAAATGCCGAACAAAAGAAAGCCGATTAAATTAAATAGCACAGCTGCAGTGCAATAACTCGAGGACCTGCCGGATCACACAGTAAACGGCTTCAGTTAGCTTAGCTTTTATAATATCTTCTAATGTTCATGAGCTATGACCCTTTGATAGGATCTTCTATCTTTCATGACCCAAAGAAGTTCATTGCACATATATGGCAGTTTTGCTTAAGGTGTACACTGTTTATGGCATGCTGAATGGTTTGTGAGTGGTATTACTGGACATTCCATACTGGATCTGTTGTTTGCAAGCGTAGCTACAACGGGTATAGCTAGTACATATATAAAGAAATGTAACAGGAACCAATACATTTTAACAAATACCACTGGATTCACTAAACCTCCATTAGGTCAGTTGATAAAGCTGGGAAGTTGGAACTGGGCCACACAGAGCCTTAAGATTCCATATTCAGTCTTCTGTCTGTGCTTAATTAACAGATCACACTTAGAGCACTGGTGAGGTGCTATAAATGGTCTTAGTATCTAGTGTTAGGGAGTTTATTTTTAAAAAAGTCATTAAAGTTTCCTCTTCTGATGGCTGGCAGCAATGAACATATTTAATTGACTACTGTAAGAAGCTCACTCAAAATATCACCCTATATCACTATTTCGCTTTCAGATTTGTGGTTTATCTATCTTTAATAAATTGCTGATTTACTCAAATAGCATCAACACAAAGCATCCACATTTTTCTGGCTTTTAATGAAATCATTTTTGGGAACATTGAATATTCACCTACAAATACAGTCAGTACACTTTGCAGTAAAATTTTGGGAAGTGTTTTATCATATTACATTTGATAGAGCACCTTATCACGTACTTGAGCCATCTCAAAGCGCTTCACGGGACATAAAGTGAATTGACTAAATTTTCTGGATGAAAGTTTTGCAACATTTTGACAAGGTGATAAGGCACTATATCAAATGCAAGAAATGTTACCTGGCTGTTCTGATGCTTGAGGAAAACCAGTTAAATTAATTGTGTAATAAGTTTGTTTGACTGCAGATACTGTATTGACTGATGTCATTCTGAACAAACTCTCTCACCCCCTGGAGGGCACTGTTACTCCACTGGCCTCAGCATGCTGGGTAGTAAAGTACACTTACAAAGCCAAGAACCTAACTGAAGGCGCAGATGTCAGCACAGCTACAATAATCTCCAAAGAACTTCAGAAAATTGTTCATGGTACAAAGCATACAATGCAGGTATCTAAAAAAAATGCAGGGTTTATCTTGTTCCCCAATTCAATGTACTCCACTCCCCTATACACTTACAATAAAGTGTTTTGAGAAATCGACGTGCTAAGGTGCTATATCAAATGCAAGGATTATTCTCGTCACTTGTTTTATTAAATTATACCAAACAGGCAACAGACTGCAGTTGGGACAAAATTAAATGTAGAAACGAGTCTATTACTCTGCCTCACAAATTAGAAATACAAATGTAGGTTTCATTCTGATCTCTCTTTTGTTCTTCTGTATCGCATTTCATTTTCTGTCCGAGATAGGTGTGATGTAACCAGCTACTAAAACAGAAATGACAGTAAAAAAACACCCCCCGATTTCTCTTGTGAGAGGATTCTTTATTGCTGCAATACTGACCTCAGAGGATAACATTCATTCTATGCAATACCCACATAATGGTCGAACTGCCATCAAATCACACCCATAATGGGTACAAAAGGAGAGAAAAAAAATGTTAAAAATATAATTATATTTTACAATAAAATGGAAGGATCATCTGCTGGTTTGAAGATATTTATAAACATTCGGTCTAAAGTGGCATTTATTTCACAACTGTCCAGAATTCTTTAGATACTGCAAACATCTGCAGCTTCTATTACATGTTTTCTCCGGTTACAAACAAATGGACATTTTTTTTTGACTGAAGCATCTGGGCAGCCCGTTCTACTCCGACCACTGAAGTCAACTTCTGAGCATCATACTTTGAATACAGAACAGTACAAGTCCACGCAGCTTCATCACCACTATTTTCTGCCTTCAGCATGTTGCAAACTTCACTGTAGAATTGTGGATATGTGGGAAGCTCATAGAAAATGAGATGCCTGATGCCCCTTATTGTATACCTATTTTAAAAAAAAATCAAACTCTAAACCAGAAAAATACAAGTGACCACCTGGCTTATAAAGAATCGTTTAACATAAAATACATAAAACCTACCCAAATCACAGACTTCACCTCACCCACTCCATCCTCTGAGAAATAATTCTGCTACTTAATGCATCCTTGTCCCAAAAGTAAGGAAGTAAATACTGACATACCTCCTTCCTATTCAACCCTAACCTCTCTAAAAACTTTTAAAAATCTGTAAGTAGTGGTCATGGATAAGAACACTTGCGACAAGTACTGTTAACTGTTCCCAATTTTAAGCTTTGTTTAAAATAGACCTGGATGCTCCAGGTAATCGATATTGCACACGACAATCGACTGTTTAATTTGATTATCTTTTCTCAATTCTTGCCCTAGGTTTGATCACAAATTTTAAGAGAAACAAGATCAGCAAATTCTAGCCTTCAATACGGACACATTCCAGCCTTTGGGACTACAGTTTAAAATCTTTAGTGGTCAGCATCAGTTAAAAAACAAATTGTGTGCAAACATGAAGTGTCAACAAAAAAATTCAATAATAAAATTGAATTCTTGATTTTACACAAGGAAACTACAAAATACTTTCAATATTAGCTGGGGATACAGATTGAAATTATAATAAAAATTGAGTACCCAAAACTTCACAAGTTTGCTACAGTGAGTCATCTTACCTTTTGTAAAAGTGGAAGCGCTCAGTGAAGAGGACAAAAGGTTTCTCTCCCTTGAGGAAGTGGTCTCTAGCTCGATTAACTGCACCTTTCTTGCTGTACTCACAAATATGAGCGAAATTGATTTCTTCATGGGTAAAGTAATTTCGCAGTCGCACATAGTCAAAATACACAGGAATATAGATTAATGTGTGGGACATCACTGCTTCTCTATACTGAGGCAAAATCTTGTTGACGAAGAACTGAAACCTTTTGGGAAAAAGAAGCAGACATCATAATACATACATTAAATAGCTCAGATTGCAAATGCCAAGTATACATCCATTCATACACTAGATTCAAATGAAAATGGGAAGCAAGAACCGCAGGTCAAAAAAGACAAAAGTCAAATTTATCAAACAATGGTAAACCAATCAAAATATAAATGATACAATAAAAACTCATTCCACTGAAAAAATGCAGCCTCTAAAGTTAGAGGCACATAATTACATTTCAATGTCAATAAAGGATCATAAATATTTTGTTCAATTTTGAGTTTGATAAATTTCACGGAGTTGCAAATAACATTTCTAACATCCCATTCCAACAATCTATCTCTGGGATTTCCCTATGTAGGTGGGATGCAGGAATTCTCAAGTTTGGTTTGGGCTTCCGCATGTGTGATGGGCTTCCGCATGTGTCAAGACACTCAGCTGGCCAAAAAAAAGACAGATTAATAAGTAACACCTGTACATTGTCTTCTTAACCTCTGTGTTAGAATCAAGTTCAATTGGATGACAGACTCTCTGCTGGCTGCAATGGTCTGCATGAAATCAGTTTAGGTCCAGTTCTAGGACAAGGTACTTAAAATAGAATCCCATTGAACTCGATGTCCTGACGTACCCACTTTGATGAGCAAAACTCAAATTTGAATGACAATGTTAAAGAATTTGACATGGTGGATTACCTGGTATCAGGCAAGTCGGTGAAGCTGGAGACTTCCACTCGTTGGAAAACATGTGGTAACTGCACTACAGCTTGACAAATTGAACCAGTTTGAGACATGTTCCTTACTGCCACCTAAAGGAGGGAAACATTTTTGAACTTATTTCCTGCTGAACCTGTGAAATTTAGATTAATAATGTTGTTTAAAACTTAGCACTGTACTGTAGTGGCACAATGTATAAATGTTCTGATGTGCTGGGTCACGAAACATGAATGCATTTTTTTTCTTCAGTTCCCTAACCACCACATCCTAATCAGAGGCAAACAATTGTGTGCAGGCAATGAGCAAAGGCTAAGAGCACCTCACTGCAAACAATGAAATCAGAGACCACATTAGATCAGGCATCTACCTCTCACATGCCTGCTGCTAACAAGACTAGTTAAGATAAACATTGATCAAGCTATTGGTCCATCTTCTTGACTGGAAAGTAACACGACACACGTCTAGGAGATGCCTTTTTTAAAAAAAAGGAGCTGGGGAAAAAAAATCAAAAGCTAAAATCATAGTTCACATGAAAAAAAATCAATATAAAATGAAATGACCCTTTTCACAATTTTTGTTCAAGAACCATTTATGGAAACAAAATGCATTTGTTACGGCACAATTTATTAAGTGCAACGCAAGCATCCAAGCAGAGAGACAGATTAATTGATTAATTTACCTTCTGTTCAAGATACACAAGTGGATTATTTCTCTAGCTGAAAGTATTGGTGCAGCCCAACTCAGACTAGACAGGTGACACAAGGTCTTTACAGTTTGAAACAGTTGTATATTGAACTAGCTTTCAATCAGATTTCCTATTCTATATAGGGCAATGAACAAATCAGATTTGGAATATTACATTGTAATCTTTGAAATCCACATTAGCTTTGCATACATTTTTGCAGTAAACTGACCTGTCCTCTGTAATTGAAGCAATGCTTATTGTGAATGGCATTTATTTGTGGATCCTGGACCGCACTGAAGATCAGAGTCTGTCTGTAATACTTGGACCAATTGTTCAGACACCACATTCTCACCCGAGAAAAATCAACCCCATGCGATTCGCGGGGCTGAAGGTTAAGATGTTTCATTAAGAGCTGCAAAAAAATGATGCAGTTAGTACAGGATGCCATAAAAATTACCCATGTTTATGCTATTTAAAAAGAAGAAATTCAGTGAAGATTTACTTGCACAAGCTGTTCAAAGTTTCTGAAGCGACTTTGCTTGCTGAGGTAAATTACCATGGCGACATAAGTCTAATTTATACTTCTCATTTTATGAGGAATGTTTAAAACTAACATTTTAAGGAGAATTTCCTTCTGGGCCTAGACTGAAGTTTTTTTTCTTAGCGTTTTCAAATGTGCAATGTTAAACAATTCTTAACTTCAGCCTCATTTTTAATTTTACCAATCTTAAAATAATAAATAATAATCCTTGCATTTGATATAGCGCTTTTCACGTCTTCTAGTCATCTCAAGAGCTTCACAGAATATACTAAAAGTGAATTGACTGTACATTTGTATTTAATAACAGTTTTATTAGCTGCTTTCGGGAATCACATTTTGTGGTAGCACACCACTGAGGTAACACATACGGCTTGCTAATTCCTCACCAATATCTTAATAAATACCAGTTATCAAAGGGTTTGTATTTAGGACTAAACTTTAGAATTCGTACTTCTTCCATTTACTAAAACCCACATTCAAGTTCTGGTGTACAAACTGCTAAACATGAACATTTTAATTTCCTTACCATTATATGTTCCCAGTTTTGCATAAGGTAAACATCTGCTTGGTCAATAATTAACATTTCAATGGAAGATAGGAAATCAAAATCCCTTTTCTTGTCACCCTCAGCCTTGATAATTGTTCTCAGACCCAGAGGTGAAGCAACAATGATGTCAGAGGAGTAAAATGGAGCATACAGCCTCACACTCTTCCTTAGGATGGACACACCTAAACAAGAACAAAACAACACAAGTTATCTTTTCCAAAGCAGAGTATTAGGAGCAAGCTACTCCTCAGACAGTAAACACATCCAGGGACAACACATGGTCTGTATCAGTTTGCCAACCTACTCCATGGTTACCTACAGTAGCAATGATAATTTATAAATTGTCATAACGTTGCTTGATTTAGGAACAGGAAAAACATGGACTCTGCTCCTTCAAGCTATTAGTTATCCTGTTAGACGGGTAAATAGATACCAATTAGGGGCAGAATTGGTGTTCAGTTACAACAGTCTTGTGATAAGACATTCTTTGGAAAAATAATGTGAGCAAGGAGAATTACGTATTGGACAGACACACTCAGCTTGCGCCTGCCCCAAAATTAGTGATTGAAGCATGAAGGACAGAAAATCAATTGAAGAGACATCCTTATGTTAAGAAACACAATTACAATCACTACACAGTAAACTCTGCAAATAACTTTCAGGCAGTGACGTGATAATAATAATCCTTGCATTTGATATAGAGCTTTATCACGTATTCGAGTCGTCTCAAAGTGCTTCACAGACTTATTTTTACAATTTAATTTACAATTACTGTAAAATGAATTGACTTTATATTTCATGGACGAAACATGGAAACCAATTGCGCACAACAGTGTCCCACAAACAGTCGTGAATTGAGTAACCAATTTATTAATTTTTTTTGGTATTATTACCCCCGGAAAAGCGATCCACCAATCGACTAACAACCGGGTTCCTACTTACTGCGTGGTAAAGTAAAGCATGTGGAGTAGGGAAACCTACCCAACATTTCTCCTGCTGGGAATTGAACCCAGGTCTCTTGCTTGTGAGGTGAGCGCTCAAACTACTGAGCTACAGGACTCCAAATGAGAGACTAATGAGACTATTTCAAATATTATTATAAGCAAAAACATGTACATTAATTTGCCCTACTGGAGACAGTTACATAAAAAAACATTTTGCAGTGAATAAAATTTCATTCAATCTTTCTTTGAAAATGTACAAGATGACATAAGGATTAACAAGTTAGATCGATAAATTCACAACTTGTGCTTTTACCATTAATTTACCATTAACCATTAGCAAAACAGACTCCAACTCACACTTCTAATAGAGGAGATCATTTGTTTCACTCAGAGTGCTCTGAGAGGCTACCCCGTGTGAAGCGTGCTATATAAATGCAAGTTGTTGTTTCCTTCTCAGTGAGTTGTCCGATCAGCAAAAAAGAAACTTCCTGTCTTTGTACACAGGTAGCCATACACAATAATAATAATCATCATCATTGAATTTGATACAGCATTCACGTCAGGGGGATATTTCAAAGTGCTTCACAGGATATACCGTAAAGTGCTCTGACTATTTTGTAGACAAATCCAGCAGCCCATATGCACATAGAAATATCCCACAAACAGCCAAGAAGTACCAATACAGATAAGTTACCAATTCGAAAATGATCATCGATATTGCCAGCAAACATAGCTTCATAATCTTCAGGCCGTTTTAGATTTGGTGGTATGTCTTCTGGATTAAAACCAAATTCATCCTTAAATCTCTTCTTGTTACTGACTTCCAGCTTGTCTTTCACTTCGAGCAGATTGATTAAGGAATGCACCACTCTTAAAGCAGACTCTCTAAATGGCACCACAATAAGTACCTGTTGGTCATGGGAACACCATTTATTTACAATGTTTTAAAAAAATGAACACGGTCTATTAACAGGCAAGATAAACTGATGAGATTATGATCTCAAAATCTTTAAAAACAAAATTTAAATAAACAAATGAAATTTAACGTGAATACTCAATTTAAAAGAATCTGTTATGCTCAAATCTCCATCTAAGATGACAACTGATTGTCCTGGGCCTCTGGAATATAGACAGCAGCTGCAATGTCAACAAATTTCCTCCCCCTTCACCCCCTACTATAACACACAACCAACCTTTGATTGACCTTTCCAAGAGAATTGAGAAAACTACAACAGGTAAATCTTCATCTTAGTATTAACCCGACACCTTAGTCCAATACCCTGCACCACCACTCCAGATGAACAATTATTTCAATGTGCCACAGCATACATTTATGAAAAAGGATCAAAATGCGATACATATTTTAAAAATACAGATGTTTAATATTTTTACCATTTCACACATTTTGGCATTACTTTCAAATGTTCCTTACCTTGGGTCTTGTAAGTCCTTGATCTCTGAAATCAACATTAACATCTGCCTTCTGATCTTGGCACTTGGAATTATTGCTGAGGACCCGTGAATTTGCCTTCAGTACATGATTTATTGCATGTAAGCAATAGGTATGGCGAACTTCCTCCCCATTTCCGGCTGCTGTCCTTTCTGCATAGTACACATCCTTGTAACTATTTATTATACTGAAGAGTTCTTTTTGTAATGGAGTGAAGAATTGTTGGTGACTCAGCTGATCTTTTGAAAGGAGTGGACCATTCACTTTTGGCCATGTTGTTTCTAGAGGCTTATGAAAGTGGAGATTTCTCAAATCGCTACCCTTCAAAACTCCAATGGGAGTGAATTTTGGTAATGAGCTGGAACATACTAGTTGCCCAAGTGTTGTCCACTAGTAAGAGACAAGAACAGCAGGAGAAAAGATTTGAACTAAAAAAAATGCACTTTTATGAATATTAAAACAGAATTCCTACACAAAGTAATTTAGTGCTAAATTTGTGCCCAGTCTGACAGTGGAAAGCTTTCCCAAACATGCCATCAGACTTTTATTACTAGCAAGTTTCAACACAAAATCTTCAGTCCAATTATGCAGAATATGCATATGTGTTGAAATCTGCTAGTAAATTGCCCTGCTCAGATATCTTTGACATTGGAAACATAAAGGTTTATTTCATTCATTGTTAAGGATTACTGACTCGATCTCACCCTGCATGAGTAACCAACCAACTCATGGGGGGGGAGGGGACAAAATGCAAACAACTTGTGCTGATTTCAGTCAATGGGATGCATCGCAACAATGAGATATTTTTCTTCTAGTATAATTTTGAAACATTACCAAAGCCCATAATGGGGAAGCTTACAGTCTATGACTACAATCTTTAAATCAAAAGTGGTTCATCACTTTTTTGAATTGAAAAATGTATTCAAAATAGAAAAAGGCAATAAATGTATACAATATTTCCAAAAATATGCAATATGACACAAGTATAAAATTACTTGAAATTCACATCCCAACCATTACCTTTAATTGCACTATACTTTTGTTTTTTGTATTTATAGTTGTTACATCAGATTCTTCTAGTTCTGTGTCCACATGTTGCTTAAATTGGTCTGAAAACAAAAGTTTTTTTTAATCTTGATTAATCAGATGGACAAATCATACTCAAAGGTCCTTCATGTTCAGAGTACGTGGATTCACAATGTTCAGCAATATACATATGAATTGCCCAACTAATAAACTAAAGACTAGTTATTAAAACAACATTAGTAACATTTAATAATAATCCTTGCATTTGATATAGCACCTTATTACGTCTTCTAGACGTCTCAAAGGGCTTCACAGAATATACCGTAAAGTGAATTCACTGTATATTTTGTGGGCACCAATTGCACACAGCAGTGCCTCACAAACAATTGTGGATTGAGTGACCAAAGTATTATTTTTTTTTTGAAGGATTACCCCCTGAAAAGCAATCCGCCAATCGACAAACAACCGGGTTCCTATTTACCACTAGGTAAACAGAGGCGTGAGGAGTAAGAAAACTTTCGCCCTACTGGGAATGAAACGCAGGTCCTCTCGCTTGTGAGGAAAGCGCTCTAACCACTAAGCTACAGGGCTCCACATTTGGCAGAAAGAGTTATTATTGCTTTGTAGAAATAACTTCTTAATTCTCTGGTTCCCTCCCCCCACTGAATCCCGTTCAGATCTTTGACATTGGAAAAATAAAGGTTTATTTCATTCAGCAAAGCTATAAGCATCCACTGCCAATCTTAGTCGTTGAGTACTTACTTAACCTTTTCAAATTACAGAAACACCAAGTTAACTGGAGCAATGCAATATTTTTAAACAGCTTAGATACTTAGAAATAACAGCAATACCTGTTTAGGAATGACAAACATATTGGATAACATCGCATTGTTGATGTCTGTTAAGCCTGATTAACAATGATTTACTGTAAGCAGTAAAGCTGTAACCTTAACCAGTTGTCCCTTTAACCAGACTCTGAAGCCAACAATCAGTATAGCACTCTTAAGAAAACAATATTACTACAGCTTTAGTGTTTTTAACTGTAACAGTATGGGTTTTGATGTATTAAGGGTATAATTGAAATACGTCTCAAGGCATTTACCAATACTGGCTTGGCCAGCTGGGGTTGAGAGCTGAGGGGCTGGGGAGGGGGATAGATGAATAAAAGCAGTCAGAGATAAGTCTTGAGACTGATTTTGAACAAGGTTTTATGTAAAGGCTATTGACAAACAACCAACTCTGATGGATTTTAAGTTCATATTATTATTCACTCAAAATGTACAGATCAGAAACAAAAATCCGCTCTCCCAGAAAAAACACACCTTTATTTTTTTTGCTGCCAGCATTTATATATAGTTCTCTTTGCCACAAACCAAGTTAAAATTAAATTCACTAGGTAACTTTGACTCAAAATTTTTCACTCTCGATTCTGGTTAAGCAATTGGCTTGCATTTGGCACTATTCCAACTGAGATTCCTGTAGCTTAGTGGTCAAAGCACTCGCCTTGCAAGTGAGACAACCTGGATTCGATTCCCACCAGGGCAAAACATTGGGCATGTTTCCTTTCTCCACACACCTCTGTTTACGTAGCAGCAAGTAGGAACCCAGTTGTTAGTTGATTGGCGGATCGCTTTTCTGGGGGCACTTATCCATTAAAAGACGTGATAAGGTGCTATATCAAATGTAAGGATTATTATTATTATTTTCCATGGTGCTCCAATTTATCACGTTTTTTTTTAAAAAAAGTACTTTTTAATAAGCAAATCAGTACAAGTTCTATCATATCCCCGAAATATATCCACAAAATAGAACTGCACATTTACCAACGTTGCCTGATCTACAAAACTCACCTTCAGAACTATTCAGAGGAGAAACCATCTCATCTTCACTTTCATCTGTTTCTACATCAACAAAATTAGTTTCCAAACTGAATTTGGTTTCATTTGTCGCGTCAGTGAAATCAACTTCCAAATCACTTATGTTTTTAGCTTCAGTATTTAGTAGTTCACCCTCCTCGGATTCTTTCTGTACAACACTGCTTGTATTTTCAGTATCAATGACTGGATCTATTGGTGTTTTAAAAAAAGTTTCAATCAAATAGTCATATTATAAGAAAATATTTGGAATAAGCAAACAAAATTTAATCAGTCACAGTGGGCAAGTCAAATGCCAACATTCAGAATATAAAATTTTTTGAGATGAAAAGCATTTTTGAACAGAATTTGTTACTGCTATAGAATTTCTTACCCCGCCCTACCATTAAGTATCCAGCTTATAACAATTCCCAAGAAATACCTTCTTCATCTTGCTCATCTTCACTCTCATTATCATCCCCCTGATCTTCCTCATCCTCATCGACTTCACTTTCTTCACTCTCGTCGTCTTCTTTCTCACCATCATCCTCCTCTTCCTCTCCTTCATCTGCATAATTGTTTAAGGTGGACACAAGGTGCTGGTATGCAGACAAAGGCTCCTGTTCAGTCTCTGCATCACTTTCAGAACTGGATTGCTCTGAGCTATCTATCTAGAGATTAAACACAATGCTCACTCAGAAGTGCTAACAATACAAAATAATCAAACATTCAACTGACATCAATGGACTCCGCAAAGGAGGAGCTTTGATTTGACCTTGACTGTGACATTGGGAAAGTTCGGAGTGGAGTCTAGATTCTTTCCCCGTGATGCAACAGGGGGAAAATGGTGGTATGAAATACAACATATGAACAGAAGTAAACACATTTGAGATATGATCATACAATTCTCTCTAAACAATCATAAAAGATCACAAATGACGTTTGGATAAAAAGGCCCTTTGGTCCATTTGATCTCATCCTTCCAGAATACTTATCCTGATATGAAGTTAGCAGGCCTGATGTGGTGGTTTGAAGCAGAATCTATATTAGCTTTCAAGAGGAAGTTTGTTAGATATCTATATATTTTCAGGCAAATGTGACTGAATGGATTGCTCTTTCAAAGAGCCAACAGAGACACAATAAACAATATGGCCTTCTTCTGTGCTATAAATTAACTACTCACCAATTCAACAATCTGAGATGACTGTTTTTCAGATACCCTGCAAAAACAATGTTCAATTATTACAAATCACTAGTTATTGGCAGTGACCAGACTAAAACAATTTAGATCATCCTTTGCTATTCTGAATTCAATTTCTATAAGCTAACATAAAATTTTTTTTAAATGCTGTCAATATAATAGCTATCAAATCTCACATTAGAAGTGTTGTGCTAAAAGACTACTGCTCATTTTAAATGTGTGGATCTTGATACATTTATTTTCTTTTATTAGAAAAGTTAATTCTAAATAAATTGACAAATGTAAGAGCAACACCATTATGACATTTCAGCCTGGACATACTCAATTCCCTTGCTTTAAGCATTCCCAGCTCCAGTTCAGTAGAGCTGAGCCAGGTGAGGATGGGGGTGAGTGTGGGAGAGGAAACGATTTTCAGAGTTCTATATCATCTGCAGCTTGTGGAGGGAAGAGTTGGGAAGCCCAGTAGGCATGGAAGCCCAGTGATCAGTTAGAATAGGTGAGATGGGCCTGATTAAAGTATGAATGAGGGGCTCAGCAGCCTGAGGAGAGACATAGTGGTAAAGGCAGGTAATGTCATGGAGGGGAAGGCTGAATGGGTCATGGCAGGATGTGATTTTTAAAGGAAAGTTTAGGGTCAAACAAAAATTCCATATTGGCTCGGTGAGGTGGAGTGCTTCTATGGATAGGATGCTGTCACTGCTGAACACGAGTACAATACAATATTACATTTGTAAAGCACCTTTCACGTCAGGAAGATGTCCCAAGGCGCTGGACTGTCAGGGATTTGGACCCAAGCTGGGGGGGAGGTGGGTTGGGATCAGGGCAGGGAAGGCAGCCAAAAGCGCAGTCGAGGAGGGGGGCGTTTCTTGAGACGTACCTTGAAGGAGGCAAGAGATGGAATGAGATAAAGGGAATGTGGGATGGCATTCCAAAGGGTGGGAGCAGAGGCAGAAGGCCCGACCGCCGATGGTGGGGCGGGCAGGGGATGTGGAGCAGGCCAGAGCCTGCTGAGCGGAGGGAGCAGACAGGTTGATATGGGGATAGCAGGTCACAGAGCAAAAAGAGAAGCGAGTTTCTCCCGGTGTCCTGACCAAAAGTTCCTTCCAATAAATTGGGTCTTTCGAGTCATGGCCGTTTGTGGGACATTGCTGCATGCAAATTAGCTCCGGAGTTCATCCACAAATACAGTGAATACACAGAAAAATAATCCTGAAGTTTTCACACTGTACATGTTCCATCAAATGCAGGAACCTTAACGCCATGTGAGTTAAGTGAAATAAAACATAGTCACTATAATAATAATCCTTGCCTTTTGAGACGTCTCGAAGTGTTTCACAGAACATACTGTGCCCGGCAACTGCTGTGCGCAACTGGTGCTGCGTTTCGCCCACAAAATATAGAGTGAATTCACTTTACAGTATAGTCTGCGGAGCGCTTTGAGACGTTGGGTCCTGACCCAACTGTCCAGCGCCTTGGGACGTCCTCCCGACGTGAAAGGCACTCTCTATAAATGGTATCTTGTTGTTGGTGTTGTCTCGAAGACGTGATACGGCGCTGTATCAAATGCAAGGATTATTATCACAGTGAACCCTGTGTAACGTTTTGAGACGCCTTCCTCACAGTTAGTATTAATGGTAATTCCCTGCTGACATCTCACGCGGTGGGTGTGTGGGGACAGGGCCCGGGTATCCCAGCCGCCTCGGGCCTACCTCCCCACGACTCCCCAGCGAGTCAACAAACCCCAACGCTCACTTGTCGTGAAAGGGATGCTCTTCCCCGAACTCCTTCAGGTGTTTCCTCTGTTTCGTGCTTAAGCTGCTGGCGGCCCGAGCCGTGCCGACGGCTTTCCTCTTCCCCATGGCCGCTCTCCCTCTCTCTCTCTCTCTCTCTCTGGACCCCCCCACGTGCAGCTGCGATCACTCCCCGCGACTTTGATTTCCTCCAATCCGATTGCGCGGCCCCGACATCATCCTTTGGTGATTGGATCGTCGCTCAACCTGACGTACTGGTGGCGAGCGCTTCGCCCCTCCCTCCCCCACGCCCATTCAGAGGCGGGAGTGACGTGACGATCACCCAATCAAGAGCCGAGCCCGCCCTCCCCAGGCCAATCAGATTCCGCCTGAGTGAGGGGCACCGTCAAGTCTGTTTGGGGCACAGAGCCCGGGCCCGCGCCGCGCAGGCGCCATTTTGCGGTGCGGCGCGGGCGGCGCTCGAGCTTTAGTTCTGGAGATTTTTTTTTAAAAAAACGGTATATGGAACCGTACACCCGCCTCGAATGAACAACCATTTTTTAAAAAATATAGAAGATAACACAATTTATAATATATATATATATAATAATAAAACTCTGTGCTTTTGCTTTAAATTCCCGGTTTGACCACGGAGGCAAGTATAACCCTCAGCACGTTTGTCATTGTGTAGTTGTTGCTGTCCGAGCCTTCCCCTCCCCGCTCCTCCGCCCCGCCCCTCTCCTGCCCGCCCCGCCCCGCCCCCCCCTCTCCTGCCCGCCCCGCCCCTCTCCTGCCCGCCCCGCCCCCCCCCGCCCCGCCCCTCTCCTGCCCGCCCCGCCCCTCTCCTGCCCGCCCCGCCCCTCTCCTGCCCGCCCCGCCCCCCCCCGCCCCGCCCCTCTCCTGCCCGCCCCCCCCGCCCCGCCCCTCTCCTGCCCGCCCCGCCCCTCTCCTGCCCGCCCCGCCCCTCTCCTGCCCGCCCCGCCCCCCCCCCCCCCCCCCCCCTCCTGCCCGCCCCGCCCCTCTCCTGCCCGCCCCGCCCTCCCGCCCGCCCCCCCCCCCCCCCCCTCCCGCCCGCCCCCCCCGCCCCGCCCCTCTCCTGCCCGCCCCGCCCCTCTCCTGCCCGCCCCGCCCCTCTCCTGCCCGCCCCGCCCCTCTCCTGCCCGCCCCGCCCCCCCGCCCGCCCCCGCCCCCCCCGCCCCGCCCCTCTCCTGCCCGCCCCGCCCCCCCCGCCCCGCCCCTCTCCTGCCCGCCCCGCCCCTCTCCTGCCCGCCCCGCCTCCCCCGCCCCGCCCCTCTCCTGCCCGCCCCGCCCCTCTCCTGCCCGCCCCGCCCCTCTCCTGCCCGCCCCGCCCCTCTCCTGCCCGCCCCGCCCCTCTCCTGCCCCCCCCTCTCCTGCCCCCCCTCTCCTGCCCCCCCCTCTCCTGCCCCCCCCATCTCCTGCCCGCCCCGCCCCGCCCCTCTCCTGCCCGCCCCGCCCCTCTCCTGCCCTCCCCGCCCCTCTCCTGCCCCCCCGCTCCTGCCCGCCCCGCCCTCTCCTGCCCTCCCCGCCCCTCCTGCCGCCCCGCCCCTCTCCTGCCCGCCCCGCCCCTCTCCTGCCCTCCCCGCCCCTCCCCTCTCCTGCCCTCCCCGCCCCTCTCCTGCCCTCCCCGCCCCTCCCCTCTCCTGCCCTCCCCGCCCCTCTCCTGCCCCCCACTCTCCTGCCCGCCCCGCCCCTCTCCTGCCCTCCCCGCCCCTCTCCTGCCCCCCACTCTCCTGCCCGCCCCTCTCCTGCCCACCCCGCCCCTCTCCTGCCCCCCCTCTCCTGCCCGCCCCTCTCCTGCCCCCCCCATCTCCTGCCCGCCCCGCCCCTCTCCTGCCCTCCCCGCCCCTCTCCTGCCCCCCACTCTCCTGCCCGCCCCGCCCCTCTCCTGCCCTCCCCGCCCCTCTCCTGCCCGCCCCGCCCCTCTCCTGCCCGCCCCGCCCCTCTCCTGCCCGCCCCGCCCCTCTCCTGCCCGCCCCGCCCCTCTCCTGCCCGCCCCGCCCCTCTCCTGCCCTCCCCGCCCCTCTCCTGCTATTGCTTTTCTTTAAGTGGTGGGAGGGCCTGGGGATGGATGTGTGTTGAGGGGGCTTTCCTTTTTTTCTAAACAAACTATGAATAAAGCGGTACTTAAGACTGAATCTATATCAGCTTTCAAGAGGGAACTCGATAAATCCCTAAAAAAGGAGTAAACTACAGGGGAATCGGGAAAGGGCAGGTAAATGCCCTTTCTCCATCCCCCAAACGTTTTGCCCACAACATATGCAGTCAATTCACTTAACAGTATATTCTGTGAAGCGTTTGAGACGTCTCGAAGACATGATAAGGCACTGTTTCAAATGCAAGCATTATTATTAAATGGGACTGAAAGGTTGCTCTTAAAAGAGCCAGCACAGGGAGACGATACGCTAAATGGCCTTCAGAGCTGTACATTTCTGTAGTTCTACATAACCTTTAATGGTGCAGAATATTTTATCTGTTGGATGTTAGGTTAAATCATTTTAAATACTATTCTAGCTTTTATTCGCTTTCCTTATTATCTTTCTCTTTCCCTCAAACCTCCATCTTGTCAATCTATTCCCTTCCCTCCGCCCTTGCTACTGCTTATTCTTTCCGTTTTATCTGAATTGCCCTCCAATCACCACCTTTTACCTACTCACTTTCCAAACAGGCTCGCTAATGCACGTGTATCCTTTCCCAGATTTTATTTTTAAATTAAAAGTGTGGCCATCAATGGGTCATGTGGAGGTATGTCTCCAGCTTGAAAGTGCAAAGATCACTCATAATTTCAATTTGTAATTTATCTCACCAAATCTGGAGGTACATAGATGGCCTGATGTACCTCTGGCAGAAAACCACACAAGTTTTGTGATCCATAAGCCTTTCATTTGCCTAATTTCATTTGCTAAAAGCATAATAGATGTGATTTATGCTTGACCAACCACAAAAACAATAATTTACCATTATATAATAGACTCCAGTTGGGAGGACACCTCAAAGCTGTGTGAAGTTCACGTTGTCAACTAGGAGCCCAAAATGGGCTATGGGGGCTGTATTTCTACTCTATTTGCCACAATTAGTTAAAATACTTTACAGAAACTTTGAAATGCTTAGAAATTCTTGACATTGTAGGCAATATACTAAAATCAAGGATGACTTATCATTCAATTATCTGCATTTATGCCATATTCAGAAGTGCACCTCTTACATTTCTCACACCAGCCACCCTGATGATCTCTGATTCAAATTTCCAAATTGTTGACGGCCAGTTCTGCTACATTTTCATTTTTACTACTGATTTTGTTTCAACAGCACTTACGCAGCTCTTGAGAGTAAGATTTGGGATGGAGAGGGTGAAATGGTTTGAAAGGTTCCAGTGGGCGAGATAACTTTTTTTTTTAAAAATTGCTTTGCAGATGTATTTAGATCAAGAAATTGGTGGAGGTGATAAATGGAGGTAAGCTCTTGTGGGTAATTTTGCTTTTTTTGTGGATAAAAAGGTGGGTTGGTGAAATAGGTAAGGTTCATATAAAATTTGGAAATTGTATTAGTCATTTATTTTATTGTAAATGTACCTAATAACAATGTACCTAATGTTATTCACCAGAAATTAATCAACTTGCTTGAAATCGAGCTTAAAATTGGTCAGTTTGGTTGATAACCATTCAATGTGGCATTCATTGTGTATGAAAGGCACAGAACTCACTGATTACCTTAAGTTCATCTTAAGGTGTTCTTTGTAACCGTTGAAATCAGTTTCCTGTCTTGTAATCGCTTGGAAGTGTCCATTACATACACATTCCCATTTGAGAATATGTAAGGCCTTCTAAGTCATTTGGACTTCAATTACAAATAACACCCAGCATACAGCAATAAAAACAAAGTGGCACTGTTTATTCTTGAATTGGTTATTATTACCTCTTGATGTGGGTATTCTTCCAATTCTAGAAGCAACAACACTCTGACCAGCAAGGATCTGCCAGTTATCTCCAGGTGCATTGGCTGGCATGTTCAGGGCATCGCTTCTGACCAGCAGCATGTTTTTGTTTGCACTTTTGGTCTGTATGGATTTTTCCCAGAGATTGAAGTTTGAGGTCTTTACCATATCCACAGTGAGTCCCATACATAGTGCTCAACAATCTGTATTTTTTCTCTTTATTGCATGGTGACTTACACATTGAAGGATCACTTAGTCTTATCCCTTAGACATTTTTCAATCACCCCGGTTTCAGTTCCTGGGAAATGTGGACATAGAAAATGATACTGACACATCTAATCATGAAAATATAAAGTAGTCTCAATTTAGAATACACTACAGTTGAAAAGTTACCTCAAATAATACTACAGCGTTTTACAAAAAACAAAGGAACATAATCTGTGGTCCTTTTTATATTTTTGAAAACTACTTATTTGGCTGCGTCTTTCAGCGCAGTATTTCATCTGTTATTAATTTTATTGAAAAATGTATACTATAAAATTTAAATAAAATTTCTAAAATAATAGCCTGTTTTCCAATCTCTGATCTATCTTCATTTTGACTTACTTGTTAATTTTCTTTTGTTAGTTGTATTGGAATGAATTGAGTTTCCGGTTGTAGTTAACAAGCAAAGATGCTTTATATTGTATATTAGCTATTGGTGGGTTGCACAAAAGGTTGTATGCATTGCAGTGAAGAGATTTAAACTGTAATCCTACTGTTTTGAACAGGAGTCGTGGGGATAAACTAAGAGGAAGAAGTTGGCGAATGGCAAGAGGAGGCAGAGGTGATTTTGGAGCACTGAAGGACCATAGTCTGCCTGTTAGATGTGGGCCACCGGGAAGAGGAGGACCACTTGGTAGAGATGGGCAAGGACAAGCAGCTGCTAATGGATATGGACCTGTAAGGTATTTTTCCTCCAGTCTTTGCTCCTTATCACTTATCACCTGAGGCAGTGGTTCAAATTGGATTGCAATTCCAGGGTCAGCTGCTTCTGTAACCCTATTCACATAATGATTGCAACTGAATCAGGGCAGTAAATTTTAGGAAGAAGTGGTTCCATGTGGAATGAAACCTGACCTTTTCCGTACTGATGTCTTGACACGTGCTCTTGCAGCACTTAGCCCTGAATAGTGGTAATCGTGTTCACCTGTGTTAGTTAGCCTAAGCATGCAGAAGTCAATCAGATACCCAATTGCCAGGTCCTATCGGAGAATGAAGAATTCATTCAGGGCTCAAACCTTAAACCTTCCTTGTGTACATAAGGCCTTCCTAGTTTGCATAGCTCAATATCACACTGTGTTAGTTAATCACATTCTCAAGTCAGTTAATCTCCTGAGAACTAAGTTGGTATTTCTGCAATATAGTTGGCACTTAGTTAATGAGACTTTAGGGGTAGGGTGAACCTGAAATTGCAAAATATTTTACTATTCACCATCCTGATTGTCTCAGTGCTGTCAATATTGTCTTGATCATATTTGAAATTTCAGTATGCAGGAGGCTTGAATTTGACATGTTTTGACCTTCCTAATCGTGGCTGAACATGTTCTATATTGTAGAATGCTGTTTTACCTGTGAATTAGAATGCTTTTCTCTATTCTAGAAGTGGCATCGGAAATGCTAGAATACATCCATATCCAGATCACCGTGGTCCAAGAGGGGGTAGAGATGGTCCACCAGGCCATGGGCCACTAATAAGAGGAGAGATAGAGTGTCATTTTAGTGGGCGAGAAGATTTTCCCTTCCCTCCTCCACCAAGGTAAGAAGACATGTTAAATTTAAGAAACTGTTCAATTTGTAATGACTCAAGTCAGTTAATCTCTTGAGAACTAAGTTGGTATTTTTGCAACATATTTGGCAAGCCTCAGAAAAGACTGCATTGTTGGAAAGAAATTTTAAAGCTGGTAGAAATTATCTAATATTTTTTGTGTGTTTATATTTTTGGCTTATATTTCTTAATGAGCCTTATTTTTCTTCATAATATCATGCTAGTCAACATAAATCAATCTCAAAAACTTGGATTTCAAAGACTCTTCAAGGAGAGGCAATAGAAAGTCCTTTTTAGATGTGATTTTAGATTTCAAAAAGGTGGTAGAACAAATGTTGAACACACAACCTTATTAAGAGCCAAATTTATAGCTCATTGTGTTGCCAAAGGAACCTCTTTTCATCATCACACCCTTGGCATAAATTAAGAAATAAGAAGCAGGATTGAAGATTTTTTCTTACTGCCAAGTAACATTGAACTGCAGTCCAAGTCAATCAGATGTTGAACATATTCCAGGAATGATGGAATTTCACAAGAGTTGAAATTTACTACTACTGTGATAACACTGTTGAATAAACATTTTCAGCTTGAGTTGGCTTTCAGCTTTTCGAGGCAGTATGCAGATGTATTACTATTAATGGTAACACACTCTTAACTGATATTTTTCAATCGGCAAGCTGTCAAACTGAACCTTTCCAGGGCAAAGTTCTAATTCTATTTGTTCAATTAAAATCAGCAAGATGTTTGCCTTAAAACATCTGTTTGATATCTAACAACCAAAACTCCCATACCTAGTGAGGGGGCGAGAATCCTACTTGTTCTCAGTTTACAGTTCTACAGATGAGTGGAAATGGAGAAAAATTATTTTAAAATTTGTTCCTCCAAGAAATGAGCAGTTTAATTATAAACCTGCCTTCTCCAAAGGTGAACCAACTGAATTTATCTTAAATCCAAAGCCTCACTGCATTGTATTCAGGGAATTTGACTTCATGCAGAAGCATCAATTACAAATTTGAAAGATAGAGTGGAGGTTACAAATTGCATCTTATTAACATTTCCATCATTCTACAACTAGAGTGCAATGTTCTTAGATATGGTGAACCATTAAGCTAACACTTGTCAGTATGGATTCCATAAAGAGTTGTTGTCTTTTGAGATGGCAGTAGCAACTCAAAGAACTTAGTTTGTTTGTACTTGATAAGGATATTGACTACTATAAAATACCACAGTACCTTAATCCTTAAGGAAAATATAGACCTTTGAAAAATGCCCTTCCAATGCGACAAAACGTTGCCCAGAATACATTATCATCTGTCTCCCCCTTCCTCCATTATTAGGCATTTGGTTTCTTCATTAATTTCATTGAATTACCTTACAGATTCAGGGGTGGTCCACCGCTACCACCACCACCTCCTCCCCCAGGAACAATGGGTTTCAGAGGAAGACACCCCTTTCCTCGGAGCAGAGGCATGCGATCGGGCCCAAGAGGGGATTTCCGATCCCCAAGAGGGTAAGTGAACCTCAGGCTCCATGTGGATAATTTTCCCCCAAAAAGCAGTAAATTCTTCTTTCTCTAAACTGATTTTTTTTTGTAATTTTTGAATAATGTATATATTTTTGGAAGCCTATATAAAAAATGCATGTCCAGACTATTTCAAATGGCTATAGTGTAAAATAATTAAATGTAGTATAACTTAGCTTTTTTTTTAAATAACTAACCATAATCGCTTTATTAAGAAAAGTTCAATATAAAACCAAAAAAAATTGTGATTTTATCCTTTTACACAGCTTTCCCAATGGACCTGGTGTGCCACCGCCACCACCTGTACGGGGCCAGAGATGGCCTGGACCCCCAGGTGGCAGACGCTTTTAAGCCACTTACTGTTAAATTGTATAGTGGGGCACACACAAAATGTTTGAGATGGCCGGACTAGAAACACAAAAAAGTAAAGCTGGCAAAGAAACTTAGTTGAGACTTGTCAACAATATTTGCAGCAGCCCTCATGCACCAGGTGGCATAAGCCATACAAATCTATATTTCTGTGACTCCTTGGACTTTTGAAGAGTTGTTTTACATAAAACTGTATGAACTCCTTTTGGTGTCTCGTGCACCCACAAATCTTCAACGATTAAATAGCCAGTTTTATGTCTAGATGTGACTGTCAAGGTCAAGCATTTATCTTTGTAAAGAAGCATTCAGTATACTTTTATGAAGTTCGAAAATACTTTTTGTGCAGCTATTTTAATTTAGGTAGCTGTGATTGTTTTAGTCATTGTTTTGTCGTGAGAAATATTGCCTGTGCCTCCTTATTTTATAAGAGTGAAGTGTTTTTTTTTAAAATTTGGAAATACTGACTCGAGAAGTAACAATGTAAAGTGAAAGTAGTTAATGAATTGATGACTCCATATGTGGAAACAAAATCACTCTGTTACGTTTTGAATTGTTACAGATACACTAAATAATGTAACTGAAGTAAATGTGGAATGTTGCTTTCTGAACCAGAAAGAGCATAATGAAAAACTCCTGAGGAAATAAAAAAAATTATTTAAAAAAATTGTGAATTTCAGAGGGTTTTAAATTTCATTATTTTCCCCAAAGATTTATATACCTTGATGCAGTTTGACCCTTTGATTATGTAATTATTAAATAATTGAAATGTAACATGTTATGTTTGCCAGACATAAATGTTATAATCAATGTATCTAACCACATTCATTTGAATATTTTAATGAAACAATGTATAGTCACTTACCATATTCATATGAATATAATTAAAGCAGTGTATCATTATTTGCTACAAAGAATTTAATGATTGTCTAATGTTAATGGCAGAGAGACGTAACGACGGAAATTATTTGGAACAGAGCCTGCCATCTTCCAGGATGATCACAATTTAACTTGACATTAAAGTAGTTCGTATAACAACGAACTTGGCCTAGTTCCATTTGTGCTGAGGGCTGAATCCTGTCATCTGACCAGTTTGAAGTTCAAGTTAACCTTAGGGTATCCCTACCTTGGGTCTTAAATCTGTAAGCAGGAATTGTATATATGAAGAGCCAATAATTTGTTACGATATGGTTAACTAAATTTTATGTGGGAACATCCCACTACATATCTGGCTTCCAGTAAAATTAAAAGGTAGCATTAGACAAAATTAATATTTTAATTTATAGACCTAACGGTTGAAATATGTTTTGTGGGTAAATATCTAAAATGTAGTGATATGATTGTTGTGAAGTTTAAAATCTGCAATTTGGGTCTTTTGTGCAATAAACCTTCATTTAAAAAAAATGCCTTCAATATTGCATGTGATTTTTAAATTGACTTTTAATCACTAATATTCCTGTGGTATACAAGATTGATGCTGTTGTTGTCTCCTGAAGGGTAGAGAATAGGTAGAGAATCCTGTGTGGTCTGCTGGAGATCCTGAGACTGCGGGAGAGCTTGAGCAATTAATTCAGGTGAGCATTGTTTACATCTTTATCTTAAATTGAGCTGCAACCTGAATCTTTGGAAAAATGGCATTGATGGCCCAAATTTTGAAATGTTAAAAATTACATTTTGATGTTAAATAGTACTTTTGTTTCAAATAATGTGAATCTAGCCTTATACTGTAGAGTAGGGATGGTCAACTTGCTCCCCATGGGCCGAATTATGCCTGCGTAAAATAGTCACACGAGCTGCAAGTTGGCTATCCTTGCTGTAAATAATGGTGGGGGGGGAGGAGGTACACTGTGTTGCTGTGGATTTGTTCACCAGTTGGTGAACATAGTTTGTTAGCCAGGGCAGTGGTGTTAGAGCAGTCGTATGTCAAATAGCTCTCGGATAGGAAGGAAAGATTGGGAAATCAGGTAGGATCTTGCTACTGATTGCTTTCCAGTAACCCTTGTAGGTGACTGTGAATGTTAGTTATGTACAGGAGCATGTTTGACGATGGTGACACACCTATCCAAAAATATTGAATAGCCTGGCAGCACTCACTGTCTAAGGTTCACAAATGCATGCACAAGGCACAAGAGAGCTAACTGGTCTGTTTGGAGCTCCTATCTGAGTGGTCACCTTCAGGAGAGATGGGGGAAGCAAGTTATTTGGTAGCTCATTTATTTATAAAACATTCTTTGCAATATTAAAGCTAAAGCCCCCCCCACCAAAAAAAAAATCCTCATGTTACAAGGTTGGTAAGACCCTCATTTGACTAATGGATGTTACTTAATTGAAACGATCCGCAAATAAAGTACTATTTTATGTTGCGAATGCTGACCAGAATTCCATGTTTCTATCCATCAAAACTAGTCTTTGACATACTTATTATGCAAATCAGAAAATATTTCTTCACACAAAACATTGTGGCACTGTAGAATGTACTATCTCATAAGGCTTTAGATGCAGGATTGATTGGGATGATCCAGGTTTAGAAATAAAATGTCCTCACTACTCCGAATCTTCTATTTGGGTCACCTGTGTTTTTTCGAAGTTTCAAGTAAAATCTCTATCTTAAATCATGAAGATTGTTACTTGTGATCTAATAGAATTTTGCTAATATCTTTTCTGAGAGTTTGGCAGGTACAGCATTCTGTGAAGATGTTGCTTGGACCTGCAAGAAGGAAAAGATAAGGTTGTTTCCAATTTTTACCACTCCTAATTACAGGCCATAAGAGTAGGATTACTATTTCTGACTTCATTTGTTTTTAATGGTGTTTTTTCTTTCCCCTCCAAATGCCTTAGTGCACTGTATTGTGTGACCCAGCCGCATTGACTTGGAAGGTCCTATAATTAGCTGATTGCAGCTGTGGCTGCCATGGAGACACATTTCAGAATCCCTAACAGTGGGATTTGCCTTCTGACTACCCTGAATCCTCTGCGGATATTGGATGAATTCTAGCTCACAGCGAAGTGAAGGATAAGATACAAATTAGGAGAAAATAAAATAAGGAAAATGGGCGCAATTAATGGATAATTGCTGCTCTAAACAACATAATAGGGAAATGGTATTCTACTTAATAAATACCTATTTTAAACAAAATCATCACATTACAGTAACCACATACACCCGACAGTAAACATGTAGTACAAAAATCATTTACATAAACATTTTATTTTTTTAAAAAAACTACTTTAAATTCAAAAGCTCACCTTAATTTAAACCCCTCGGTAAAAAAAATGAAAGTTTTATGTGTCTAAAGCCCATCCTGTAGCTCAATGGTTAGAGCACTCGACTTGCAAGTGTTCAATTCCACGCAGGGTGAAACCTTGGCAAGTTTCCTTACTCCACACGTCTGATAATAATCCCTCCAAAAAGCAAAACAATAATAAATTGGTCATTTTCAGTCCACGATTGTGTGGGACACTGTTGTGCATAATTGGCTGCCGTGTTTCACCCACAAATATACAGTCAATTCACTTTACAGTATATTCTGTGAAGCGCTTTGAGACGTCTAGAAGACGTGAAAAGCACTATATCAAATGCAAGGACTATTATTATCTCTAGCCTGTCAAATATACTGGGAACAAAAGTCACTGATGAAACATTTCTGGGTGGTTGAATTTATCCCTCTTTAAACTACACAAAAAAGTAAAAAAATAAAAATGTACGTGCCATAAATTTCTTCACAGATGTGTATACTCTTAATATTTTAATGCTGTGCTTTTAATTTACATTATAAGATTATATGACGATTATTTTGTCTTAACCAGTATAAAAGATGTTGAATCATGGAGATTCCTTTTATTGCTTCATATGAATTTGGATGCAAATTATTACATCTAGGAATCTTTTTTACCTTAATTTGCTGCCAGTTTCGCCCACAAAATATAGTCAATTCACTTTAAACTATATTTTGTGAAACGCTTTGAGACGTCTGAAAGACATAAGGCGCTATCAAAGGAAAAAAAAATGGAAGAATTGCTATCAATATTTCACAATTTATTCCCTATTGTTTTACTGTTGGAGGCAGCAAAATTTTAGTAATTAAACATTCATTGTATGCTACATGTATATCTTTCATCTAAATCTTTGACATGGGGTTGAATTAATTATCTTGAATACAATGGAATTTGAAAAATCCTAGTTTATTTGAAGGGATACAAGTTAATCTTGCAGGGGTCTTGCCTAACTGAAGCTTCACCTACTCAGAGCATTAAAACAGCCCCAGTTGAGACCACATCCCCAATTGTAAATTATTATCCTTTAACTCTTCTTAGTTACATTTACCTTGGAACCTTATGGTGACAAATGTATCATCTTCACAGCATTTCCCCATGGTTTTAATGTGAAAGCTATTTAATTTATAAAGTTTTATATGCAACTTAAATAATGCAAACCAAACGTATAATAACATTAATTTATTATTGCATTTAAAAAAATTAAACTGTTACATAATACAACTTTCATCGGTCTGTTTTTGTTGCATCTTCTGAAGGATTTGAGTTCCAAACTGGTTCATTAATATACTCAGGTAACTGCTGGAGCATCGTCTGAAAAATAATATTTTATAAATTACACATTTTAAGACACAGATTCTAAAGTTCTATGACCATTGATTTGAGACTGACCTTTGTCACCTCCATAGCAACACCTTCTGGCAGATTGCGCTGGATGTATTCCAAATATACATCAGCAGTGCTTCCAGTCAGATGCTTGAGCTGGCACAGAGAACAGTAATGTAAGTACAGCAAAACACACATGAAGGTGTATTAAAACTCCAGTTGATATGTTTACTTGCATTTTATAGTTTGAGCATCAGGAATAGTAAAATATCTCCCAAGAATTGTAAAATATTTCTCCATCTAAATATCAATCAGTATGAGCAGAACCAACTGCTATTTTAAACCTGCACCGTATTCCAAAATATAACCAAGAAGACAAATTCCTCTCAATGCATTGGAGAAAATTGCCAATGTAAATATTGGCAGCATAATCATGAGCATCTCTGAATACTTGAGCAAGTTTGTCCTTGTATTCTCTAGTGCATACATGCTGCATGCATAAAAGGGATTCATGCTTCCTATCACAAAACTGCAGCTGCAGATACCCATTCTCGGGGGGGGGGCAAGGGAGCATATTACCTGAATTTAGATAGCTATAATTTGTTTTAAAGTACATTATAAAATGGTAAAGTACTTTTCCATTCTATAACTACCCTGAACTGATTAAAGATATTCACATTCCGCCTTTCAGGGGCTAGTAAAATCTGTTCTCACCTGTGTACAACGAACTAAAACCCTTAATTTTAATTCAAGATAGACAGCGAATCACTTAAATTAATCTTCAGTGAAGGAGCTCCTTACAGAACTCATTATTCCATGTATTCTGCTCAATTGTGGGTAAATACCAATAAATCATTACTTGGCATCTGTTCACACCCCACCCACACATCTACAGTTTAATTACTTAAAACAGTCACCACTTTACAGTATATCCTATAAAATGCTTTGGGACATCCACCTGACATTAAAAGCAAAAAAACCTCAGAGCTTATCATCAAGAGCATTGACTGGCAAGCATCCTGCCCAACAAGGACCACCATTACCAATGAGAAGTCTAAATGATTGAACAGAAATAAATTAAAACTGGAGTTCTGCTTCGTAGGTTAAAAACGATTCATTGTGAAAATCGTTTGGAGTTGGAACTCTGTACTTAATTTATTTCCAGCTGAACAACTGCCCATCATTTACCTCTATACATCTGTAGTGTGTTCTCATCTCATACTGAACTCTGTGCTTCTTAAAAATATGAACAGATTTAAGAAGAGTCATTCTTTCCATTTTTTTTTGAGGTTCATATCTAAAAGATAGAAAAAATTCAACTTGAATAGATACAAAACTCAAATTCAGTAATTCTGTAACATAAACTTTAAAATATGAGTTTAAATGACCTAACAAAATGACTTTATGTGATGCACAGAACATGGCACAAGACAAATGTAAGGCACTGCTTTTAAGTGATGGCAAATGCTGTCTCAAGATTTTCCTCAGGAAGAGGGTGGAAACTAAAAAAACATAAATTTAACTATAATGAGTCACCATCTCATAAAGTGGCCAATTTAAAAATCTTTGTTCAAAATTAACTGATTCTAAAAGCAGAATCTAAGATGATAATCCAGGAGAATACTTTCTGATCGATACCTACTGCTACACAAATAAGTGATTCATACATCCTAGAACAGCGTGGTCCAAAATGCAGCCTGCGGACGGCATCCGGCCCGCAACCATTTCCAACATTCCAACTTGTGCGTGTCACTATCTGCAATGGCAGGACTAAGTTACTAATTACGCGGTTGGTAAGAAACACGCTTTCCTGATAGACTGCAGTAACAGCCGGTATTATTTACACTCTCCGCGCTGAGTCCTCCCAACCGCTGGCTCCTGTCGCTGGCCTGGGCGGATGTTCACCAGGGAGTGGAAGTTGGAATGTTGGAAACGGTCTCCGGTTGGATAAAATTACCGGCCAGGCCGGATGTGGCCTGTGGGCCGCCAGCTGGCCCACACTGGATATAGCCCGCCCAACCTTTCTCAAATAGGGAATCCGGCCCACGGCAATCAAAAGGTTGGACTCCCCTGACCTATAGTATAGCGACAGAAACAGCATAATAAAAACAATACAAAATATGCAACTGATTCATAAGATACAAGTGATGGTTGCACTTTCAGGATGCCAAAGAAAATTACTTGGAAAAATTAAGCTGTTTAACAGAATCCACCTGGCTCATTCAACTCCAAAATACAAGAAATAAGAACTTACACTTCATCAACACTGATGTTCAGCATTTTAGCTGCAAGGGCAGCAAAGTACTCATAGCTATCCAGAACAGCTTTATCATGGCCTTTCACCAACACGGATATGTTCTTATAAAGTCTGTCAGGCTCATCTGTCAAGGTTACCTACATCACATAAGACACAATGATGAATTGTCTGCAGGAAAGACCTCTAGAAATCAACTACAAGTCTCAACGAAGCAGTGTGATCCAAAACTCACATTAGAATGAAATTAATGATTCTTAAAAACTTTATGCCACAGGTATAAACTTTGAAATCTTGAAACTGAATTAGTGTTCACAAACTTTTTTTAAAAATCCTTATTTTTGGTGACATCTGCCACCTTGACTTCAACATTTTCCCTCACCGACTTATTTAAAATTTTTGAGGTTCTTAAATGTGGGTGTGAACCAGATGATCTATTCTAAAAGTACTCCACTGGAGTTGTGCACAAATGTGTACAATCACATAACATTCAAAAGACTGTTGAATGTATATTGGTTACAATGTAAACCCTTTCTACATGTTGCCTATAATAGTATTCCTGGACGACAGCAGCTAACTTTGGTAAATTGACTGCTGGATTACAAAGATGTCTACTAATGATATACAAAAGGGACAAGTTGCCTAAAAGCAGACACAGCAAACAGTTACTGAAACATGGAAGTAAACCTTACCAAGGAGGTAGTATCGAAATTTGTAGACCCCAAATGAATTCTGGAAGAAAGTGTCACCAATGGTCCTCCAATGCTGCTTAATAGAAATATTGTGGATGAAATAAAGATTAATTATCCATGCACAGCCGTTTTGTTTCAACATATTGGAGTTCAATCAATGTCAGGAGAAATGTACTTTCTCAAACTGTTGGAAACAAGTTAACTACATGGATGTAATCAACATTTAGTTTTTTTTAAAAAAGCAACTAAAAATACTTTGAATCATCTGTGACAATTCTTATTCAACCTTATGCAATATTTCAAGACTTACCAAAGCCCTTCTGTTGTTAAACTGTTGCTGGGACAATTCACAGGTAGCATTTGAGCAAACTGAAAGACAAACAATGATAATCTTATACTCTGTAAATGAGGAGCCCTTTCCTACCTCTGAGACAAATGTGAATTCAAGTTCCACATTGGGACTTTGAACACACAGTCGTGGCTGACACTCCAATTCAGTCCTGTGAGAACACTCACTGAAGGTGCCATTCTTCAGATGACACAAACGAAGGTCCTGTCTGCCTATCCAGGTGGATGTTAAAGATCCCATGGTACAATCCGAAAAGAAAAGAGGATTTCTCCGGGTGTCCTGGTGAACAATCCCCCAATAAACTGAGTCATTTATTTTATGGCTTTTTGTGGAACATTGGTGTGTGCAAATTGGCAGTCCTGTTTGCCTAAAAAAACACACATTACGTTTCACCCACAAAAAATAGTCTTCACTTCACAGTATATTCTGTGAAGCGCTTTGCGACGTCTCAAAGACATAAGGCGCTAAATCAAATGCAAGGATTATTATCACAGTGAACCCTTTGTAACGTTTTAACATTTTAACACCTTCTTAACATGAAAGGTGCTATATCCAACTTTATTTCATTTTACTTTGTGTCAATAGATAGAGAAAAGCAAGAGAAAATGAATGAAAGTTGACACAGATGTATTGCCAGTGCAGCCTCCAACAGTCCACTCTAATATGCTTTTGCCATCAAGGCTTCCACATGAGTGAATGGACGACGCTGCCGAGGCCGACACCAGTGAACCCTCCCACTGAGGAGGGCTCGGGATTCAGGAGGAAAAAAAAACACAGACACAAGTCAGTAAGAAGGTCAATGGTGGAGGACAGGAGCCCCGGGGCTCAACTGAGGGTCAGGACACACTCCATGTGGCGGTGGGAGAGCGGGCAGGTCGGTGTGAGGGGATGGAGCGAGGGGAGGGGCTGAGCTTCCCACCTGCGGGAGGAGACGAACCAAACCTCTGTAAACTGCAGCCATCTTCACCATAGAAAACCTTCCGGGGTATCCACACCGTCTGACAACTCCTTCCGGGGCAGTGAGCCGTCACCTCAAACTCACTGCAGTCAAACAGCTCGTGTCGCGTAGCTGCGCATGCGCGAACTCCACCAGCCCGCAGGCAGCGTGACGTCACATTACACTGACACCATCACTGTCACAAAACATCAACACCAACACCGTCACCAACGCATCAACACCGTCACCAACACCAACACCGACACCGTCACCAACACCGTCACCAACACCGTCACCAACACCAACACCGTCACCAACACATCAACACCAACACTGTCACCGTCACCAACACTGTCACCAACACATCAACACCAACACTAACACCGTCACCAACACTGTCACCAACACATCAACACCAACACTAACACCGTCACCAACACTGTCACCAACATCAACACCGACACTGTCACCAACACCGTCACCAACACTGTCACCAACACCAACACCGTCACCAACACATCAACACCAACACTGACACCGTCACCAACACATTAACACCAACACTAACACCAACACTAACACTGTCACCAACACATTAACAACAACACATTAACACTAATACATTAACACCAACACTGTCACCAACACATTAACACTAACACTGTCACCAATACATTAACACTAACGCTGTGACCAATACATTAACACTAACACTGTCACCAACACTAACACTGTCACCAACACATTAACACTAACACTGTCACTAACACATTAACACTAACACCGTTACTGACACTGTCACCAACACTAACACCAACACTGTCACCAACACATTACCACATTAACACTGTCACCAACACTAACACCGTCACTAACACTGTCACCAACACTAACACCGTCACCAACACTAACACTGTCACCAACACATTAACACCAACACTGTCACATTAACACCATCACTAACACTGTCACCAACACATTAACACCAACACTGTCACTAACACTAACACTGTCACTAACACTAACACTTTCACCAACACATTAACACCAACACTGTCACCAACACTAGCACCGTCACTAACACTGTCACCAACACATTAACACTAAAACTGTCACTAACACTGTCACTAACACATTAACTCCGTCACTAAAACTGTCACCAACACTAACACCAACACATTAACACCAACACTGTCAGTAACACTAACACTGTCACTAACAATTTAACACCGTTACTAACACTGTCACCAACACTAACACTGTCACCAACGCATTAACACCAATACTGTCACTAACACATTAACACCAACACTGTCACATTAACACCGTCACTAACACTCACCAACACTAACACTGTCACCAACACATTAACACTAACACTGTCACTAACATATTAACACTAACACCGTTACTAACACTAACACTGTCACCAACACATTAACACCAACACTGTCACCAACACTCACACTGTCACCAACACTAACACTGTCACCGACACTAACACTGTCACCAACACTAACACCGTCACTAACACTGTCACCAACACTAACACCAACACTAACACTGTCACCAACACATTAACAACAACACATTAACACTAATACATTAACACCAACACTGTCACCAACACATTAACACTAACACTGTCACCAACACATTAACACCAACACTGTCACCAACACTGTCACCAACACAGTAACATTAACACATTAACACTGTCACCAACACATTAACACTAACACTGTCACCAACACATTAACATCAAAACATTCACTAATGCACTGTCACTAACACACTGTCACTAATACACTGTCACTAACACACTGACACCAGTCACACTGTCATCAACACATTCACTAACGCACTGTCACTGACACACTTTCACCCACACTATGTCACTAACTCACTGACACTAACATATTGTCGCCAGGCACACTGTCACTAACACACTGTCACTAACAGTGTCACTATCACACTGTCACTAACACTGACACCAGTCACACGGTTATTAGCACATTCACTAACACACTGTCACCAACACACTGTTACCAACACACTGACACTAACACACTGACACCAGTCACACTGTCATTAACACAATCACTAACACACTGTCACTGACACACTGTCACCAACACAATGTCACTAACTCACTGACACTAACATACTGTCACCAGCCACACTGTCGCTAACACACTGTCACCAACACACTGTCACTATCACACTGACACCAGCCACACTGTCACTAACACACTATCACTAACACACTGACGCTAACAGTGTCACTAATACACTGTCACTAACACACTGATAATCCAGAACTCTGCAGCCCGTGTCCTCTCCTGTACCAAACTCCGTGACTCCATCTCCCCCATTCTCACCCAACTCCATTGGCTCCCTATCCTTCAGAGGATCCAGTTCAAAATCCTTGTCCTAACCTACAAAGCCCTCCATGGCCTCACCCCACCCTGTCTCTGTGACCTCCTAACCCCCTACCAACCCGCCCGCTCCCTCCGCTCAGCCGGCTCCGGTCTGCTCCATGTCCCCCGACCCACCCGCCCCACCATTGGCGGGAGAGCCTTCAGCCACTCTGCCCCCAACCTCTGGAACTTCATCTCCCAATCACTCCGCCTCGCCCCCTCCTTAGCCTCCTTCAAGTCCCGCCTCAAAACCCTCCTCTTCGACCATGCCATTGGTCACCCCCCTTCCCTTCTCATCCCTGACCCCAGCTCGGGTCTGAAATGCTGTACACTGTCCAGCACGTTGGGACATCCTCCTGACGTGAAAGGCGCTTTACAAATGTAATCTTTTGTTGTTGTTGACACCAGTCACAATGTCACTAACACATTGTCACTCACACACTGTCAATAACACACGGACACCAGTCACACTGACACTAACACACTGTCACCAGTCACACTGTGATTAACACACTGTCACTAACATACTGTCACTAACACACTGTCATTAACACACTGTCACTAACACATTGACACCTGTCACACTGTCACTAACACATTGATGCCAGTCACACCCTCACTAACACAGTTGAAGAACACAATGGGGTGTCAGTGTGTTCGTGACAGAGTGACGGGTGTCATGTTTTAGTAACAGTGTGACTGGGGTTAGTGTCAGTGTGTTAGTGATGGTGTGACTCGTGTTAGTGTGTTATTGACAATGTGACTGATGTCAGTATGTTAGTGTCAGTATGTTAGCTTCAGTGTGTTAGTGACAGTGTGTTAGTGTCAGTGTCAGTGTGTTAGTACAGTGTGACTGGTGTCAGTGTGTTAGTGACAGTGTGACTGGTGTCAGTGTGTTAGTGACAGTGTGTTAGTGACAATGAGCCATGACTTGTGTCACCTGGCTTGATTGGGCCCCAAATGATTTCTTTAAAAAAACATTTCCGCTGAACGCATGTGGACTCCCACCAGCGCAATTATCTTAACGTTCAGCAACACCATGTTGAGAAGCCTTGCCTTCTCTCCCAAGGATATCAACTTGACTTGGATTGTTTGAATCCCGCAAGCAGAAAATAGCTTATTCGCTAACTTCTGCTCTTGAAATTCAAATTATTTCAATGCTGGTACTGGCATTTACCGGGATTTTTGAATAATAACAATAGTAATCCTAGCATTTGATATAGCACCTGATCACCTTGTTGAGATTTCTGTAAGCACTTCACAGAATATACTATAAAGTGAATTGTCTGTATATTTTTGGGGCGAAACACCAGTAAGTGCCTGTACTGGCACAGTCATCATCGTTGAAATCATCAAGGATAAAATTATGATCGATGATCAATGAAATGATAGAAACCAATCATAGAGATCTATCATAGAATCATATGCTCTTTCAAATAATTTAGTTCTAGTTTCCTGGTCCTGTATTTAATTTACTTCAGCGCAACATGTACAAGGATCACAAACAATGCATTTGTCGACATCCAAACAAAGTATAAAGTAGACTTTGAATAAACCGGCAATCCTTCATGCCAGGTGGGGACTGCAATATATAGGAAACTTGAAAATACAACATAGAAAATTCCAATTTTGTGTGCTTTGGTCATGGGCTATATTTAATGCATCAATTATCCTTCAGGTTTCATTTTTTTTGGTGTAATCAAATGCTTGATGCTTTATCTCTTTGAAAAACCTGTAAGTAAGCTTCTCTAAATAGCATACATTTCCCGCTGCAGAATGCAATGTGTGTATGCTGGTGTATGCTTATTTCCCCACTACCCACTCTGACAGAAAGATCAGACTCACACAAGTTGAAAAGTAGCGGTGATGATGTGACCCTGACTGAACATACTGAACTACATTCATAATGCCACAAATGAGATCAAGTCATTTACTGCAATGAGCTTCAGGTCTTTAGCACATCCACCTGATGTTGTATTATCACTGACCTTAAAAAGTGATCTCCAGCCATTCTGTGTAGTAGAGTGGAACCTGGAGATATTCGAGGCTAGGAAGGAATTCTTGCTGGAAAAATACTCAATAATATGAATTAAAAAATGATAAATTTAAAAAAAAAATGTTTTAAGTTGCATTACTTGTTATCAAGTGGATGGTTGCCAATTAAACAATTTCTTCATTTTTTGCACCCATGCCACGAACAAGTACTCCTACTGAAGAGCACAACTCTTTTTTTAAAAAAATTCTATCCTCAGAACTCTGCTTCAATGTGGCTCTTTCATTACCCACAGCAGCCACATAAATCTATTCTGCCCACATACACTTATTAGCACTTAACATATAAGAACATAAGAAATGTTCTAGTTCGCCTTCCACCTTCCTGGAGATCGCATGCACCTATGTCCCAAACTACCTATGTACTCTATCCCATATTGTTATTTGCTAAAACTATCTAATCTGTGTTTGAAAGAATCAACATTTCCTACTTCAACCGTCTCCCCAGGGAACCTGTTCCACAGGTTCACTATTTGCTCACTGAAATAGTGTTTGCGTAGATTTGTTATGAATTCACCCCCCATTCAATCACAGGCCGTATCCTCTGGTTTTACTATTCTGGACAAGTTGAAATAGCCTGTCATGATCTATATTGTCTTGTCCCTTTAGAATCTTAAAGACAGCAATCTTGTCACCTCCCAATCTTCTCTTTTCCAGTGTGAGCACGCCCAATTTACTTAGTCACTCCTCATAGTCCAGTCCTTCCATTCCCTTAATCATTTTCATTGTCCTCCTCTGTAACATCTTGATTTCTCCAATATCCTTTTTGTACTGCAGTGACCAGAACTGCACACAATACTCTTAAGTGTGGTCTCACCAATGATTTATACAGTGGCAGGATTACCCCATTATTTCGGCTTGCCATTGATCATAGATATAGGTTATAGAACAAGAACACAGTCAGGAGGAAATGTGCCATGATCAGCAACAATATCATGTGTAACATTATCATGTTCCATTTACCATGGCTTTGGGGAGTGTGTGGTTTCACCATAGATGTAGAGCAGAGCATCAGTTAAGGGTCGGAGGTGAGCAGAGTCTGGCCCTTTCGGCAGCACATCCTTTGGGCCATTGTTCTTCCTCCCAATCACAATCTCAGCCTAAAGCAGCCATCAGGCAGCGACACCGCTCAGTGCAGCTCACACGAATGGCAGCTCCCCAGTTAAGGATCCGTTCCCACATTATGATGGAATTTCACTCAACTCGCAAGTTGTGGGAGATACCTGTGGAGTGCTGTTTAAATGTCAAATCTTCATCGGGGAACTCACACAGGGTGGCTGCCTTTACATATACTCACTCAATCCATGACTGTTCGTGGGACACTGCTGTGTGCAATTGGCTGCCACGTTTTGAGCACAAAATACAGTCAATTCACTTTACAGTATAGTCTGTGAAGCGCTTTGAGACTCTCGAGAACGTAATAGGGCACTATATTAAAGCAAGTATATACTATATATTAACAAGAGGTTATTGTACCCGTCCCACCAGCTTACTAGATGTTGGCAGATCTTTTAATCCTATGCCTTGCTCCTTTCACCGCCCCTTTTAATACCTCCTTAATACCCAAGTATTACTCTCTCTTTTAAACATTCCTGCTTATTTTGCCTCTGCAGGTTTCTGGGGCAGAATATTCCACAATGTCACAGCCCTGTGTAAACAGCCCTCGCACTCCATGGGACATTTCTGAACTCATCTGAAAACATTTGTGTTAGCGAGATATGTGTACTGCCTCAAGCAAAATCTGGTTTGTATCTGGGTTGGGTGTTTGGACTTTCTGAGCTCAGAAACGTAAGTATATCCATGAGTTCAGATCAGTTTTAGTAATTGCAGGAATCTTCGTGGTCAACAGGTTAATTGAGACAGAGGCTGCCTTTGTGTGAGTGAGCATCTTTTGGATATAATTTATTTGATCTGCACAACTGGGAATAATTTCATACTATTTAAAGGAAAGGAGAGGGTGCAAAAAGCAAAAACAAAAAAAAGCAATTTCTTTGATTAATTTAATAGGAAAAAAAATACTAATCCCACCAACACATTAAAAAAAACCTCAGGTACATATTCAAGCACAATTCCTTTGTTTCAAAAGTGAGTCCTAAATGCACAATACTGTCCCACTTTAAAAATACCGTCACTGTTTTTTTGTTAAAAAAATGCAATTTTCCCAAGAACATGGCCAGAAAATTTCCGAACGTCTTTTTTTTTTGCCTTTCTGCATTGCGTGTTAAACAAAAGCATGTGACAAGTGGAGTCATTCACCGGTCTATACATAGTGCTTCATCGATTACGTGGCAAAAACACTGCGTTTCGTTAGAGCAGGGATAAGATTCTGTTTATAAAAAAAATGCAGGAAATAATGAAGAACTCCCATACACTCTGTACAAAATACTCCTGTTACAGTGCAATGAAAACATAATAAATTACATTGCTGAGTAAAAGGCATGCAATCCGGCTACTAACAGTACCCCCAAATTAATAAAATAAACTTTTAATAACTGTACAACACTGGTAACAGAAACATATCCCAGTGAAAGGTCGGCATTCCATTACAATCATCTCCACGCATTTATTTAACTTTCAAAAAAATATTTTGCTTTCATAATAGATATAAAGTATTTACACCCTACCTGCTAGATAACACCAAGAAACAGCAGTTAAATAAATCCCGTCAATAAACCGGATTTTAACAATTACTTTTAAAATATAATTTTGAACCTTATTTACAGTTTTTTATTTCATAGAAAAGTAGACTCGATTTAATATTTTGAAAAAACCCTTACTTGAGACAAAAAAAACTTTTATTAAACTTTTTTTTTTACAAAACAACCACAATCTGGTTTAAAACATTTTCGAGAGACTCATTTTGCTGAGACAAAGACTGGTCTGTGAGGCTGTGTTTTGCCCCCATGTGATGATATAAAATAAATGACAGAAGAGCATTTTTAATCCATGTGCAACGCTCCTAAGGTTCCTTTTGCATAATGTTTGTGAACCAGCTGGAGGACTTCCTGATGACTTTTTTTCATGTAGAGGATTAAAAAAATGTAACTTTGTTCAAAATAAAATGTTTGTTGTGCCATTTCACTTTCATAAGAGTTGGGGTGGGGTGTTGGGGGTAAAGAAAGGAAAAGCAGAACTACAATTCATCGTCATCTGGAAGAAGGTCATTGTCCTCCTCGTCCAGGAGTAGATCTGTGTCCATGACGTCTACTAACTCCTGAGCAACCTCCTCCTCCTCCTCCTCCTCCATCACCATCTCCTGTTTGACCATGCTCATGTGATCCTGGTGAAGCAGTGTGGGCAGACTCCGCACGGCAGCTGCCAAGTCAGGAGCCGGAGTGGCTTTCTGGACCTTCTGTCGCTGATGATCTTCCTGCTGACGGTGAGTCTTCATGTGAGCGTTTCTGCTTTTAACCTTGTAGAACATCCTGAAAACACACAAGAGTTTCTCGCCCGTCAAAAAAAGTTTAAAATGTGTTTTTGTGGGAGGGGAACCTGTCTGGTGTCTGATACACACAGAAATCAATCATTGTGCTTGACAGTACAGAATATAGTTTGGGACATGACATGTCAAGCAACTGCTTGGGTGGTGGAAGGCAAACTAGATGGACCTTGGTCTTCTATTGTCAGCAAATTCTTATATTCTTATGTAGTCTCTAAACCAAACTACTGAGACGACCACACGTGTGTGCCTGGAACTTTGCTTGTGTCCAGATTGCAATGTGCATTCTTGGCCCAGAGGGACGTACCCTGGTCACCCACACAATCTCGGAGAGTATTTGGTGCAAGTAGGCCAGAGTCCAAGGCTTGGGGACTCCAGAGTGTGCATTGGGGATATTGTTGGAGTTTCACCAGCTAAACCCACATGGCTTGCTATTGCAAATACTGACTGGCAAGCTTCCCATTGCTTGTCCAGCGAGGACCTCACCCTTTCAGCCACACTGTTTAATCCTCACCACCACCACAGTATTTCCCCCACAAAAAATAGTCAATTCACTTTACAGTATATTCTGTGAAGTGCTTTTGAGACGTCTCGAAGACGTGATAACGTGCTACATCAAATGCAAGGATTATTATTAGTAGTAAGTATTTAACCCTCATCCCTGGAAATGCAGTCAAAACTTGGAATAAAGAGCAGGAAACCATGGGTCTTCTCTTTCAGAAAGATGTAGCAATTCACAATTCAAAACAAAGAAACTTTGAAATACAGCAGGCCAAAGGTGTGCCATGTTTAGGGAACAATTAACAAAGGAGGTTGTTAGGAAAGGAAACGTCAAACATACTTTCCACATTCCTTACAAGGGAAAAGCTTAGGAGCGTCGGTTTCACCGCTGGTCGTGCTGTGTGCTGGAGAGCTCTTTACTGAGGTGTAGCTGGGCTGGGGCGCAGCCACTTTGAGTTTCACTGCAGGAGTTTGCTTTGGGATCTGGTTCGAGCCGCCATGAATCCTGGCGTGACCATTTAAAGCCTGCCTGGAGCTAAATATCTACAAGAAATAAACAAATACAGAAAAGTGAAGATTAATTTTATGCCACTGTGTAAACCTGTGAGAGTCAAGGAAGGAGAGAGGGGACAAAAGTGCAGAAATAAAAAAAAGTACTGAAGTGGAATCCTGTAGTTTGGTGGATAGAACACTCGCCTCACAAGCGAGAGACTTGGGTTCAATTATTAGTTTATTTTTCGACTGACAGATCGCTTTTCCCGGGGGGTAATAATTCCTTCAAATAAACAAAAACAATTGGTCACTCAACCCCTGACTGTTTGTGGGACACTGCTGTGCGCAATTGGCTGCCACGTTTTGCTCACAAAATATACAGTCAATTCACTTAACACTATGTGAAGCGCTTTGCGACTTCTCGAAAATGTGATAAGGCACTATATCAAATGCAAGTAGTATTATCAACTCGTCTTCTGAGAGCAGATGGTTTGTACGACTGTCCACATGGTGGCATCATAATACAACTCCCACAGATTCGAATAAAGAATTTTTTAAAAAAAGTTCAATATATTATTGAATTTTCAACACGCAGCAAAACTCCAACAAAGTTTACTTCCACACAATTTTGTAGCTTCCCAAAGCCTAAACCTTCTTTTAAAAAATAAACAAAAACACCCATTACATTTTAAAAATTAAATAAACAAACATCTATTTTTTCAAAATGCAACATCCCCTGTACAGTTCTAGCGTTGCTAACATATGGTGTGATTTAGCCTCGTGTAGAATACAGCTTGTGCACTGTTCATAAGAAAACGACACATTTGACTTGCCAGATTCTGCAGCTCACTGAATAGCACTTTGTGATTGCTATAATTTGGCTCTTCAGTCGATCATTGCTTGGTGCAGCGTCTAGTCATACGTTTACCTTCAACAATACCCATTCATTACCGAATTTTTGCAATGCCTCCAGATAGCTTACTTTCAATTCATCAAAAATAACACAAGGCGGGATCAGGAAATGGCATTGCTCTGTGAGACATTAAATAAAGATAATCAGTGAACATACCTTCATTATTTCTCTCACTTGGTGAAAAGAATTTTATACCTCACCCATAAAATACACAATCCTTACAATAATAATGATCCTTGTATTTGATATAGCGCTTAATGTTGTTGAGACGTCTCAAAGCGCTTCACATAATATATTGTAAAGTGGATTGATGGTGTATTTTGTGGGCGAAACACGGCAGCCAATTGCGCCCAAATTATATTCTGTGAAGTGCTTTGAGACGTCTCAACGATGTAATAAGGCACTATATCAAATGCAAGTATTAATATTATTATTATGATGTGTTGGTCAGTTAAGGAATGTATTTCTTCCACTGTTTCGACAAAGCTAGGGGAACAGCAGTTACTAAACTAAGAGCCTGGCCAGGTTTAAACTTCAATCTTTGCAAACTAACAAGAATGATTCTTGTATTTTATACAACAATTTTCATATCAGTCAGACTCCCAAAGTGTTTCACAGGATATTCTATATAATGCAGTGACAGTGTATTTTGCAGCCAATTTCCCCACAATGTCCCACAAACAACCATGAAGTGCATGTCCAATTTTATCAAGTGATTTTTGGCAAGGAACACTGGGAGAAATCATTTTGTTTTTCAGATGATGCCATGGGATCTTTGTGAACGTCCTCCTGACACAAAAGACGTTGTAAAGATTGAAATTAAATCTGGACAGGCTCTGAGTTGAGTGCGCGTCTTCTATAACTGACCAACACATAAAATATTTTTCACTAAGTAAGAGAAACGAAACAAGGTACGTCCACTGGACATTTTTCTTTGTTGTTTCCAATTAATAATGTCCAACACAACATTTACGACAATTCCATAGCCTGAAACTGCACGGTTTGTCCTGTTATTCTGCCATTGTCCAAACGATGAATCTTAAGTTCTCTTTCCTCTCCTTCCTGCTCAATGAAACCCAGCATCTCTGCTTTTTCAGTGCTTTTCAGACATTCATCCTGTGTGAAACAGGTTGGAGAAAGTGTAAGTTGCTGTTACTGTACTTACTGCACCACAATTAGGCATTTCACACATAAACGTCGGCCCCTGAATGACGAGTGGCTGCTCCACGAGAGACGTCTGCAGCTGCACTGGTGGTGTTTGCACTCCTGTGCTCTCGCCCTCTTTCTCGGATTTTCTCTCGTCATCCTCCTCATCCTCCAACTCTTCGTCTTCATCTGTAAACTGTCGAAAGGAAACATCACAAAAGAGCAGTTTCGTCAAACCCAAGCACGTTACCAGCGATGAGAAAGAAGGTGTCACTGATGGTGCATTTGCTACAGTAGCCAAACAATATTAGAAAGTAATATTCCTCACAATGATTATAGTATTAATAATTTGATAAGTGCCTTATGTCATTGAAACGTCTTAAAAGCACTTTACAGGATTTTACTGTAGAGTGCAGTGACCATATTTGTAGGCAGTGCAACAGTACATTTGCGCACAACAATGTCCCATTAACAGCCGTGAAGTGAGTGACCAATTTTATCTGGCAGGGGAATTGCCTGCCAGGACACTGGGAGAAATTCTCTTCTCTTTTTGAAAAGTGCCGCAAGATCCTTAATGTCTACCTGAATAGGCAGCTGATATCTGCCTAAACATTGTCTACCTGATGTCACTGATGCTCTGACCGACAGCCACTCTATAAAAGCATGCCTCATCCAAAGAATGGCACTTCTGACAATGTTGTGTTCTGTGTTGTAGGATCAGCCTCAACTATGAGCTCAAAGTTCAGGGAAGGGAACGAAAATGTAACATCTGCCTGAACCGCAGCGTTATCTCTGAGCTGAGTGCTATTGCAGCTGAGAAGGAGATCATTGAAATAGATACACTGTCACTGTTTTGTTATCTTATATCCAAGGAAATGATTGTCCTGATTCACATCCGTATCTGAAGACGGCAACGGAGTGCGCAACCAGCACTCTGTCAAAAAGAGGTTGGAATACATTTTTGAGGCAACTAGTTTGACAATTTCCTCTCTTTTCCTCCCCATTTTAAAATAATAATTCTTTGACCTTGGGTACACCGTCTAAGTAATCTAAGTAATAGTAATAAATAATAATCCTTGCAAATGATGCAACACGTCACATCTTCGAGATGTCTCAAACCTCTTCACAAAATATACTGTAAAGTGAATTGACTGTATATTTTTGTGGGTGAAACACGGCAGCCAATTGCGCACAGCAGTGCCCCACAAACAGTCGTGGATTGAGGTGACCAATTTTTTTCCAGTTTTACTACATAGCAATTGGTGTGGAAACAGTCATGCAGAGGCCAAGAGTACACATTGAGGTTCTAGCACGTTGTATTGATAGGGCTTCTGACAGAAAGTTGTCCACAGAATTATATTTTCTCTCTTTTTGCCCCTCCTCCCCTAACCTCCAAAAACTGAATTATTTTGCAGTTTACCATTCTCCTTCCTGTGTGTAGAGACACTGTACCATTTCCAGTCTGTGCGTCAAAACTGCAAGAGATTACATTGCCATCATTGCATCTCACCCTTTGTTCTGCCATATCTTCAAATCACACGCGGTAAGAGTTATCCCCAGGCAAAGCGTTATACCTCATCCACTTCCCGCAGTGTTTAGCTCTATCAAATCTTCAGCCCAATGTCTGTGAAGCTTTGATACAGATTCATATACACTTTTGCCAAAAAAATGTATTGTGGTCAGCCAGGTGTCTGACACATGTGAAAACGCATCAGCATGCTTAAGAGTATCCAAACCAAGCTGAGATTTCCATGCTTCCCACCTACACATGGAAATCCCAGAGATAGATTGTTGGAAAAGAATGCGCTCTCTCCCTGGCATGACACATCCTGCTTACCTAATTCCGGGAAGTATTAGGCGCAGGTTGGCAAGAGCCAAAGCTTGGGGACTCCAGCGTGTGTATTGGGGTACTGTGGGAGTCTAAACAGCTAAAACCGCATGGTTTGCATTGAAACTTTTAACAAAACGCAACTGTCCACCTTACAAACTCACGGTGTGTCATGCAGTTTAAGTCTGAGCCATCCCTAGAAACTCTGGTGAGGTCGTTTGGCGGCTCCCCTGAATACGGCAACTTACACGGCCTCATTTGGTGACTTCATTGGCAACCTGATGTCAGTGATGCTCTGATGACAGCGAGTCTATAAAGGCATCACCTTAGAACTTAAATGTGTGCCCTTGGCCTCTGTGCCACCGTTTCTACCTCAATTGCTATCCAATAAAACATGCACGCTACCAGGCACAATCCAGCTCAGTCCGACTTGCCCCCACGCTCAAGTCACCTGCCGACTTCAAATCAACCACGCCTTCCGTCACCGTCCTACCCTCCTCACCCTCCACTTCTCCTGGTCCCAACCACCAGCTCGGGTGCGGATGACTGTCCAGCACCTTGGGACGTCTTCTTGACGTGAATGGCGCTATACAAATGTAATTTTGTTGCTGTTGTTGGCACTCGCAGTCTCAGCTCGCCCATGAAGAGTTAATGAGGTACAAGAGGGTGGCCAGTGCTGACAAACCATACCCCAGGTCAAAGAGCCAGTGTCTTAAGATGAGGAGAAAACGTGAAGAAATTGTCCAAAAAACAAGAAGAGAAATGATTCATCGATTTTTGTGTACAAAAAAAACATATTGGTGAGTTGGAGGCAGTTCTCTCCCAACCTCTATTCACAGAGTGCTGGCTGTACACAGATGCACTGCTGCCATCTTCAGATACAGATGTTAATCAGAATAATAATTTCTTCAGATACAAGATAACTATTCAATGATCAGACTATCTATTTTCAATGTTCTACTTCTCAGCTGTAATAGTATTCAGCCCACAGATACTGCTACTGTTCAGACAGATAGCACATTTCCGTACCCGCCCCTACACATTTGAGCTCCTGTAGCTCAGTGGTTAGTGCACTCGCCTTGCAAGCAAGACACCTGGGTTCAATTCCAGGCAGGGTGAAACCTTGGACAAGTTTCCTTAGTCCATACGCCTAATAATAATCCCTCCAAAACAATAATAAGTTGGTCATTTTCAATCCACAACTGTTTGTGGGGCACTGCTGTGCACAATTGGTTGCCACGTTTCGCCCACAAGTATAGTCAATTCACTTTACATTCTATTCATAAGCGCTTTGAGACGTCGAGAAGACGTTAAAAGCGCTATATCAAATGCAAGGATTATTATTATAGCTCATAGTCCAGGCTGACAGTCCCAGCATTGCAAAGTACACTGCACTTTAAGAGGTGCCACCCTTTAGATGAGATGTTAAATCAAGGTCCCATCTACCTGTTCAGGTGAACGTTAAAAGATCAAGATTCAAAGAAAGAACTTCTCCTGGTTTCCTGGTCAACAGCCCCTCCCAATATAAAACGGTTGTTCACGTTACAACTGTTAGTGGGATGTTGCTGTGCACAAATTAGCTGCTTTGCTCATCTACAAGTACACAATCTATTACTGTAAAATCCTGTGACGTGCTTCAAAGACGTGATAAGGCACTAGATCAAATGAAAAGATTATTATTATCGTTTTCTAATACAATATTGTGTGGCCACTGCAGTAAATTCAGGCTTCGTGTAAATGTCTATTTTAACTGACACTGTCGGCAACTTTGTTATTACAATTATTGCAGAAATGTGATCGATTTTGATGATTTTCCCCCTCTCCCGGTTTCAAATTCAAGGCACTATTTACCATCCCTTCGGCCTCCGTCTCTGCAAGTCGGGTTCTGTGCTTTCGACCTAACCGCAGAATCTTCTTCCACGTGTAGTAGTATTCCACGCATTGTGCCACTGTCTTTGACTTCACCTGCACAGGGAGGCAATAATGTTTGGTTGGTAATAATGTAATGATAATAACTTGCATTTATATATGACAACAACTTGCATTTATATAATGCCCTTCACACTGGGTAGCGTCTCGGGATGCTTAACAATTGCATAATTTGACACCAAAAACAGCTTTTGCATAAAAATAAACATCATAAGAGAAAAAAGAAGGTTGTTCCAAAGACAAATTCAGCAGCTATCTGTGCCAGTAACAGCCTACAAACAACAATCAGATGAGTGGACAATTATTTTCAATTTGGGGGTAAATCTGGATTAGGAGAGGAATTTGAGGCAGGATAACTGGGTGAAACAACAACAACAAAATTACATTTGGTATAGTGCCTATCAAGTCAGGAGGACTTTCCAAAGGTGCAAAGAGACAGAGTTTCAGACCCGTTCAGGGTCGGGGACTATGGAGGGCAGGAAAGGATGCAAGGAGATTGAAAGCACGGTTGAAGAGGAGGATCTTGACATGGGTCTTGAAGAAGGCAAGGGAAGGGCGAAGCGGAGGGACTGTGGGATGGAGTTCCAGAGGGTGGGGGCAGAGTGCCAGAAGGCCCGCCCGCAAATAGTGGGGAGAAAGAGGCTGGGGAAGTGAAGCAGGCTGGAGCCCGCTGAGTGGAGGGAGCAAGCAGGATGTTAGGGAGTTAAGAGGTTGCAGAGGTAGGGGGAAGCAAGACCATGGAGGGCTTTGAAGTTGAGGACCAGGATCTTGAACTGTATCCTCTGTGTGATGGGAAGCCAGTGGAGTCAGGCAAGGATGGGGGTGATAGGGTCACGGAGCCTGGTGCGGGAGAGGACGTGGACTGCAGAGTTCTGGATGATTTGCAGCCTGTGGAGGGAGGAGTTGGGGAGGCCGACAAGCAATGAGTTTGCCAGATCGAGCCTTGATGTAAGGAAGGCATGGATGAGGGCCTCGGCGACCTGCGGTGTGAGTCAGTGGCAGAGCCGGGCCATGTTGTGAAGGTGGGGGACGGCAGAGAGGACCATGGCACAGATGTGGGGTAGAAGTGATAGTTGAGGGTCAAACAAGACCCCAAGGGTCCGGACTGGCTCAGTGAGGTGGAATGTGCAACCATGGATGGTGATGCTGTCAGCGCCTGAGGTGAGGAGGCGCTGATGGGAGTCAATCAGGAGAGCCTCGGGCTTGTTGACGTTCAACTGAAGAAAATTAGCTCTCATCCAGGACTTGATGTTATTGTTTGAAGCGTGTTGTTCCTCCAGCTTGGGCCTTGCAGTCCAAGTTAAACAGCAACACTGAGGGCCCCTCAGACAATGTCATTATAATAGACCACTTTACAAAGCTCCACTTTACACAGAGTTACTGAAACGGCAACATTTCAACAATAAACTTGATTATTACTGGAATCAGTCTGCAGTTGTTTTGGGAAACCAGCGAGCTCAGCAGCTCAGCAGTGAAGGAGAGCGGAATAATATCTAAACATGAACATTTTCCCACTCAGAAGATTTGCTGCACTGAACACAAACAGGATCAAAATGTTTAAAGCGTAAGGACAAGAGTTCAACTGTGAAATGCTTGACAACTCTATAGAACCCGGAAAACAATATAAACCATCTTCTCCACAGCGTCAATTTAAGCTTTCCAGGTTAATGCATTCAGTACGAATGCCCAATTCCATTCTCAAAATTCTCTTCAAGAGCTGGAGAAAAACTGCTTCAGACTCCAGTTTAAAAATCTTCCAAAATGCTGTACGCTTTTAATTGATAAGATAATGACCTTTAAGCTGAGATCATGATATTTCGGGTCTCAGATTTCTTCTCAATGCTGTATTCAATTCACATTTTCGCACTCACATTCCAATGCATGAATGATCCATCCTTTCCTCTCTTAATTTTCTGTATTGCAATCTCCTTTCCAAGCATTCACCCCAGCCAGCACTCTCTCACTGAACTTCCAAACCTGGGTTCAGGAGAGAAACCTCAGATCCCACTCCTCCAATCTTTTTCCTACCTTTCCATAGAAGACTGCAAGGAAGTATGGTAGAAATCAGGATGCCGGACTCATTTTCATAAGAAAGATTGCAAGACTGTAGGGTGGCTATTCTGCATTTATAACTCGCCTTTCACGTCGGGTGGACGTCCCAAGGCACTGAAACTGGATGAAGATTCTTCTTCATCTGTACTTCTCATGTGACCTTATGATAACATAAGGTCAGACTGTGAGCTTATAAAGGAGAACAGGAGCTGTAAACTCATACCCCACCTCTGTAATAAGTAATAGCATGAGCTACTAGGCTGACCCACGGGCCTCCCTTGACGATACATAGCTTGTCAAACCTGGTACATTAGTTAGAAACACAGCATTATACAGGACCAAAAAAGTGCATAGTGGTCCATCTGGCCAGTCCTAATGTTAAAAAAAATCCTATTCTAATTCTTAACCTGTAGTGGAGTCCTGTAGCTCAGTGGTTAGAGCACTCGCCTCGCAAGCAAGAAACTTGGGTTCGATTCTCGGTGGGGCGAAACTTTGGGCAAGTTTCCTTACTCCACACGCCTCTTTAACTACCAGTAAGTAGGAACCCGGTTTTTAGCTTTTCCAGTGGTAATAATCCCTTCAAAAAAATAAATAATTGGTCACTCAATCCACGACTGTTTGTGGGACACTGCTGTGCGCAATTGGATGCCACATTTCGCCCACAAAATATGTAGTCAATTCACTTTACAGTATATTCTGTGAAGCGCTTTGAGACGTCTAGAAGACGTGATAAGGATCTATATCAATTGCAAGGATTACTGTTATCCTCCTCAATTGAATCATTTTCTAAACGCGTATCTGGTTTCCTATTTGAACTGACAACAATCTGCCTCCGTCACCTCTCTGTGGGTACTCTATTCCACATAATTATTTTACACACAGATTTGCAATTGAATCTGACCTGTCTGAGTCTGACCTTCCCCTTCAGTGAGCTTGAATCCAAGTCCCCTTCATTGAGGATTACATACAGCACCCTGGGCACAATGTTTATATAAACTTCTCCCAGCTTCAAATTCCACACCCAGCCTCAAAAACAGACCAGTCAGTCCAATATTCTTTCTCTCCCAAATTGAATATAAGGTTGCATTTGTGTAACAAATACAAGAGGATAAGACCATTGTGTTCCTCGGACATAGTGAACTCCTTCAAAAGCAGCACAAAAAGAACCAGCTGGTGAAGTTTTCTTACCATTTTCTGAACCAGGAAGAAGTCCTTGGTGTGTGCGATCAGGGCTTTGTTAAATAGTTTCCTCTCCGTTACTGTCCACTTGTCAGAGCCTAAGAAAAGGAGGCCGTGGTAGAACACAAACATTGAACAAGACAGAGCCACAGAGTTTTGTCCACTTTCCTTGAGTTTTTTCACCATAAGTTACAGTGATTGAAATAAAAGTTCCCCCCACCACAAAAAAAACCTCCAAAGATAAAGAAATGGTAATAACAGTTTCAACTCAAAACAGTGCAACATCAGGAATCCTACAATCTGAACCCAATGTTACATTAAATAAACAAAAATAAATTGGTCACTCAATCCACTACTGTTTGTGGGACACTGTTGTGTGCAATTGGCTGCCGCGTTTCGCCCACAAATATTCACTAAATTCACTTTACAGTATATTCTGTGAAGAGCTTTGAGACGTCTCAAAGACGTGGTAAGGTGCTATATTAAATACAAGGATTATTATGATTATCAATGAGTAGTTGAGGTGGACTCTACCTACCCGCGTAGTGGTAATCTGTTAACGAATGAGATTTGGGTCGAATAATCTTCTTCATCAACAAAATCTCCAGAGCCATCTAAAGGGAGAGAAAGATTGATTCAAACATAGTATTTATTCAGCCTTTTGACAAAGTGTGTGAAAGCTATAACAATCAGCCTCGGAACAGTGATCACCTTCATTACTACCACCAGAAATAATAATTCCTTAAAAAAAATTGGTCACTCAATCCACGACTGTTTGTGGAACGCTGCTGTGCGCAATTGGCTGCCACGTTTCAGCCATTTGGCTCCCACAGAATATAGAGTCAATTTACTTCACAGTATAATCTGTGAAGCGCTTCAAGGCACCTCAAAGACATACAACGACGCTATATCAAATGCAAGGATTATATATTATTATTATAAATAATAATAATCCTTGCATTTGATATAGCGCTTTTCACGTCGGGTGTACGTCCCAAAGCGCTTCACAGATCACAGTGTAAAGTGAATTGACTGTATATTTGTGGGCGAACGCGGCAGCCAATTGCGCACAGCAATGTCCCACAAACAGTCGTAGATTGAAAATGACCAATTTATCATTGTTTTTTGTTTTATGTTTTAAACCCCTCGAAGGGCACTGCCAGGATGCCATCTCTAGAAGAGATTACATCTATTTTTTCCGCCATTCTAAATGGTATCCTGGTTCTCTTGTACTTCACATCACAATACGCAGTAGGTCGGTTTATTTCCCAGCAGCACATTGACTGTGTTTTGGTTGTCTGATGGGAGGAAGATGTGGCAAAGTACAACTGGTACAACTAACTTCATTTACATGCATCTTACCATCCTGCATTACCCACATCACAGTCTCTTTTGCAGCCAGGAACACTATACACAAAATAAGCATAAAATTTAAAAATGTATTGAAACCAACCAATATTGAAACCGGAAGTAGAGGTACCAACTGTCGTGTGTGTATGCATGAGGGAAAGAGAGAGAAAGCAAGCACAAAAGCAAGGATGTTTGTCGTACTTTTGTAATCTAAATATAGAGATTCCAATTTTGTATTGTGCATATAAATTTTATATATTATATAAAATATATACACACACATACCCAACAGATGGCAATAAATTTAAGGCAGTAATTCGAACCGAGAGTTCTGATGATCAGAAATCTTTTAGTTTCTTTCTTTACGTTGTCCTTTGGAGTGCTCCACGTTTCTTCTCCCATCTATTTACAGCTTAATCTGCTGAGTCAGTCTATACAATGCAGCAGTTACGCAGTGAGTTTGCTGTAAGAAACAATGTGAGCTGAGAATTCCAACTCTTGATCCAAAACAAGAGTTTGGGTCCAGGAATCAGGTTCAATAGTCTTGGGAGAAAATCCAGATAGCTGGAACAGATATAATTCCTAACTGAAACAGTAAAACACGTGGAATAAGTTTTACTTTGTGTAAAATCCCCTTTTGCTACCTCACTTTTTGTCCATTTGCTCAGTCTGAGAACATGCAGTGATTTCTTCCATGGCAATAGATTATAAAAAGCATTTTTGTTGAATGTTGTTCTCAACCACTCCTTTTGTCATCTTGTTTTACATATGGAATGCAATACACGTGCATTCAGTGTCAGGGTAGCTAACTTTATGTCATTTCTTGGAGCTGGACACCAAGGAACCTCCTTTACAACTTAAAATGTGAATTCAGGAGAATTACCCGTGGTGATGAGACCAAATGATCTGAAGAGACACTTTCATTTGCCACATTTCAGTAATCAGAGCAACTCATAAAAGCAGGAGTAGGCTTTTCAGCCCCTCCAGCCTGATCCACCATTCTTTAAGATCGTGGCTGATCATGGCTTCAACTCCAATTACCGCTGCCCAATATCCCTTGATACCCGTACCTAACAGAAATAACAGCTCACTATCCAAGTCACTTTTAATGGGAGGTGGAAAGTGAGGGGAGAGGAGAAGACAATGTAATGATAATACATTATCGTGTGTATTCGATTAAAATGCAGTTCTATTGTGAATCCCATCAGGTCGAGTACCTTCCTGTTTTTTCAAGTTGTGTGGCAAACAGGAAGTCTTTGCAATGAACTGGAAGTTGGCCTCGTTTCCTGTAAATGTAACTTCACTGTACTTACCAGAATGTTACCATTTGCCTCAGAGAGGCAATGTAGGGCAAGTTCACGATTTGTCCCACCACCAGGAAGCACACTAGAGCAAGCCATGTTCAGCAGGTCTTCCACTAAAGAAAATATAAAATACAAAATATGTCCTTGAAACCTAACCTGTAAATGGATGGAGAAAACTTTTGAGCAGTATATAACTCTTTTATCACAGCCAGTGGTTCCATTCGCATAATCTGTGGAAAGAGTTCATTCCCTCTCACCTCCCTACCGATCCGCTATCTCCACTCGGCTGGCTCCAGCCTCCTGTTTGTCCCTCGTCCCCTCGGCTCCACCATCGGTGGCTGTGCCTTCAGTCACTATGCCCCCGAAACTCTGGACTCTCCACCGTGCCCCCGCCCTCCCCACCTTCAAATCCACCTAAAGATCTTCCTTTTTGATCGTGTTTACAGTCATCTCCTCCCTCCTCCCCTTGGTTCGTTGTCAGATACCTCCGAGATGCTTCCCCACGTGAAGGGTGCGGTATAAATGCAAGTGTTTGTTGTTGTTGGGAGTGCATTTGAACAGGATATTGGCCTTTTTCCATGCCATCCATTAAGGACCAAAACTCACTTCACTGTGAAAAGGCACGGTACCTCTTTGTTCCACTTCCAGGTTCTCCAATTGGCGCCATGGTTTCCATACCAAGTCAGCTTTAGAGATGTCCTTAGTGACCAATGACCTGTCTCGTAGCACTGGGATGGCAGCTTGAAATCGGGGTCCCATGTTGATTCGCCTTAAAGAACGAAGACATCAGTTTCATCGAGCACTAATTAAACAACTGAGGCATTTACAGAAGAACGAACACCTTTGAGACCATTGATCACACAAATGCTACTGGTCGATATTTTTCAAATCTTTCACGCATATAAAGTATAAAAACATTCAGTCTTCGAAAAATCTCGGAGGCCTGAAATTTCCCCTAGTCTTTGGAAGTAAGGCCAAAGCGGTGGAAAATTCTTAAATTCAGTCTTAATTTGGAAACTGATTATTTTTCAAGAATTGCACAAATTAAGGCTTCACTAAACCAGGATTGTAAACTGCACAAAGTACTGTGTCGTTATGACTAACATCTTCCAATCACTCTCATCATTATCCAACTGTAAGTGCAACATGGGATGTTTGGTAACGCCAGTGATCTTTTCAATCACAATAAGTGTTAACAAACATTGCGTGGCATTCTCTCATTTCCTAAACAATGTTTGCGTATATGACAAAGGATACGCTGCCATGTAAACATGTTAGGCTGTGTTCTCGGTTAGGCTCCAATTACCACACAACTCGTTCAGCTGACACTAACCCAGGGTTCATATACAGATCCCAGAGCCCACACGCCAATGAGCAATGCCACATGGCAGCTTGAAACAATAGATGGAACAAGCACTTACGGTTCTATGTCAACAGTCTGTTCTCCGGGTCCAGAAGTTATTATCGATGCATCTATACTTTCTGCAACCATAACAAAGTAGTAATAAGATGATTTTTTTTTAATCAGCTTCCATTTAGGTATAGCTTTTCCATTAAAAGCATTCTGAGACACTAAATCCCTGTGAAATACATTGTATAAATGCAAGTTGTTGTTGTTGTGGTGGAAAAGCTACCAAATGGACTAGTTTTAAATATTTCCACTTGTTTTATTGAAAAACCAAAAATACATCCTCTTCTACATTAATTTGTTATTTGACAACATATTGAGACTCTAATAAATTGTGCAATGAGACTTCAGTCTTTTAAGTTTGTGTTGATCGCACACAAAAAGAAAATATTTCTATCTAGAAAGCTGAAAGAAATCAGTACTTGGATGGGCTTGCAGGAGACCCACCAACATTTTCTTGACTGTACGCAACTACAAATTGTACTTACATAGCACCTTTCACATAGGAAAATGTGAAACAAGGCAGGAACTCAAGCAAGGTGGGAAATTGTGGGTGGGGGGGCAAAAATGTGACCTTGAGCGGCTTGATATAGAGATATTGGTTAATTCAGCTGTTGTGGGTAAGCAACCAGATCTACAGTATTTACACTGCTGCATATGCTTGGTCACTTGGTATCCAGAATTCAGCAGCACAGATACACACCCAAGATGAACTACAACCTGATCCTATGGTGCCATCACCTTCCCAGTAACTGAATGCAAAAAGAGTAAGGATTAGAATTAATTCTCCACACAGCGATTGCTTGCGTTGGGCCATAAAGATGACTTGTTAAGTGATGCCTATGTGTTTCACCACAGAGAGAAATATTTAATTAATATATAAATATAAAATAATCAATAGGAGGGCGGGGGAGGAGAAAAAAGTTATCCTATGTTGTTCTAGCACTAGAGCTAAAATATATATTATATACACACACACAGGACAAAACTGGGAGAGAACTGTCTGCTTATTTCACTCAAGACTATTGTATGACCCAATATGAAATGGCCTATAAACAGCAAAATGAAACCAAATCAAAAGCCTAAGCTACATTTAGTCTATATGACGTGAACACAGGATACATCGATGGAAACGCATAGTCGGCAGCGCTGGGTATAAACTACTTACTAGCTCGACCAAACAGGACACGTGGAGTTGGTGTCAAAGGTGTGATTGGCAGCACTTGATATGTGCCACTGTGTGAGGATGAAATGACACTGCTGAAGAGGCCAGAGCCTTGTCTGACTGGACTTAACATCGGAGGGGGTGTGTAGGGAGGGAGCTCTTGTGTCCTGTCCAGCAGGTGATCTCCCATTATTCTTGGTGAACGAAGCTGACTTTGGTAAAGAGTAGCGCCTGGATACGAGGCAGCAAGGTTGAAGGAAGGCGGGGGGATGAAGAGAGGTTCAGGCCTATGTCGATATTTTTTCTTCTCTTGTTGAGATTTCAAGCCGTCTTCTGACTGCACACCAGTAGGCTGGCATTTTCGGATAATTTCCTAAGAGTAAGTTCACGGGTTCAATTAGTGATTCTACATTTTTTTTAGTAAATACAATATAAAACGTTCTGAACACGACAAATGCCAAACGTAAATTTAAATTTTTGCCAATCGAGTGCATACTGCTAAAATAATGTCATTCGTAAAAGCAGTCACCCGCAGCAAAGAATCTGAAAGCCCCGTCGTATTAATGCTCCATTAAATAAGGTAACAGCCAATTCTTGTGTTACCTTTCAATAGCAACGGGTAGGCTCAGATCATTATGGGATAATTCTCGATAATTCATGGGAGAAAACGGAGACGGGAAGATTACATACACGTAAAAAAAAAAGAAACTACAGACTGCAAAAACAGCAAGCTTCAAACCTTCATAGCTGCAATAAGAACAATCACAAATCTCAGCATCTCTTTAAATTCATAACTTGTTGTGGTGGGGGGAATGCTAATATTTCATCTTTTAGGATAGTTTAACGGCAATATTAGGATGTGTTAAATCTGGTTAAATCCATCCTCTCCCGCTCCCCTCCACATCTGGTGAGATACTGGAGATCAATCCCCAGAAACTTTTGCTTTTTAGTTCAGAAATCTGGTTGAAGAGTTCGTTGTGACATAAACTTAGATTTAAAAACTTGTAGAAGGTGGGGCAGAATGAGTATAATCTCACAGTCTTGAGATTCTGGGAGAAAATGAGTTGAGGAGGCAGAGGAGAGGAAGATTGATAGAGGAAAGGAAGGAACAGAGAAAACTGGGGAGCTGAACAGAGAGGCAGATAACACGAGATAGGACACGCGAAGGAAGAGGGTTGGTGGAGAAGGGGAAGGAATAGAGAAGAAGGTATGGTACAGGGACAGGAGAAAGGTAGATAAAAGATGAGAAGAAGCGAAGAAACCGGGAAAAGGAGGAAGAGAAAAAATATAAGGAAAAAATGGAGAATGTCATCGTTAGGGAGAAAATATTGCTTTGTTTTTCCATACTAAAAAGCAAACTTTTGGTGAAAAGCTGTAGTAAATGATTGCATTGGTATACATCTGAAAATATTGTGTTGAGTTCTACATGAAAGACTTGGATTGTTCATTATTGCTTGATTTTCCATTACGATAGAGCAGAGTTCCTGAGCTTTACATCGAAATGGAATGTATCCAGACAGAAAAGACATCAGATGAAAATTCTGATAACAGACAAAGACTGTGATGAATGAAGAGTGAGCATTATGAAGAAAATCACAATGTTTAAACATCACCAAACATGTTCCTTGAGGTGCATTTCAAGAAATGAGTGAAGATAGGAAGAATACTCTTACTGCGATTGTTAGGCTAGCTCATGGAGGAATGTACAGCACTAACACTGTCGTACCGACAATGTAGCCAGTGCTTACGGTTGTCATTAAAACACACAGAATTGAAAGGTAATTTGAGATTTTACTGTTCCCCATTACTTTTCCGACAATATGAGAACTGAAGAGACATCTGTCAAGAAACCAAGTCACAATCAAGTTACAATATAAGAGCAGGTAGAATTAATTTTCATATAGCAAGGACAGAAAGGCAACAGCATGCAGGTAAAAGCAAAACACAATGAGAAGAAAGGTGAAGTCATTGATTTGGCACACCAACCCTTTGCATCCAGGGCACTCTGGTCTAGAACCTCAAAAAATCATCAACAATCTAGAACACATTTGCAGCTGTAGCAGTTACGGGCTTACGCAGGATACGGAGGAACCTTTAAACTATTTTGAGTGATAGCCAATGCATTTTGTTTTCATTGGAAACCCCATTATTTATTGATGAACAATAGGCAATTTGGAATATACTGAGAATCTGAGCTGGCAGACCCAACTCATGAGATAATTCAATTCAGTTAGTATTTTGCAACAGCCTGGTCTGATTATCTGCAGAATAAGCCAATGACGTCTTTCCACCAGCAAGCAAAGGGTTTCAAACAAACAAAGCAACCATTGGCAGGGTTAGTAGCAGGAATGGCAGCACTCACAGAGGACGAGCAGGGACGGGCCACTTTGGGAGAGTGTGGTGGAGAATCAGTCATCTTCGTGAGGACTGGCATCTCGTCATCGGACACAGAGTTGGCAGGCTTGTCCTTGGCAGTGGTGACCTGCTTGCTGGGTTCAGCAGGCAGAAGCTTTACAGGCACAGAGACAGGCATGATGATGGGCATGAGGTGATCCACCTCTTTTGGCTGCTTCTCTCCTTCATCCTGTACAGACAACCAAAGGCTTTCAGCCTCAGTTACAGAGGGGTCCTGTCTAAAGCAACACATCTCAAACAGACCTGCACGGGGTCTAAAGAGAGTGATGTACCCGCAGATCCAAACTGCAGCTGTAACACATGCACTTAATAGAATTCCAACTACTCAACATTGTGATTTTTTTAATAAAAAATCAAAACAAGTAAAAATGCTTACATAAAAGATGAAGCATCTCAATCAAATACACTTTGCATAACCAGTTTAGTATCTGGCATACAAGTTATCTATAACAAGTCAGCTTGGTTCAGATGGTAGCAGTCTAGTCTCTGGGTCAGAAGGTTGTAGGTTCAAGCACACGTCAGAACTTGAGCTCATTGTGTTGGCTGCCACACCATTGCAGTACTGGGAGAGTGCTTCATTGTCAGAGGTGCTGACTTTTGGATGAGATATTAAACTAATTTGCTTACAAATACACAGTTACTGTACCTCACAGTAAAAATCATGTGAAGTGCTTTGAGACAGCTAGACAATGTGAAGAGAGACTATATTAAATGCATGATTATTATATTTATATCAAGATCCCATCTGACTGCTCAAGAGGACGCCAAAAGATCCCTGTGACATTATTCAAAAAGAGAAAGGAGTTTCTCCTGGTGTCCTGGCCAACATTCCTCCAAGTAAAATAATAATATAATAAACCTTGCATTTAATATAGCGCTTTTCACGTCTTCTCAAAGTGCTTCACAGAATAAACTGAAAATGACCAATTTATTATTGTTTTGTTTTGGAGGGAATATTATTAGGCGTGTGGAGTAAGGAAACTTGCCCAAGGTTTCGCCCTGCCTGGAATTGAACCCATGTGTCTGACTTGCAAAGCGAGTGCTCCAACCACTGAGCTGCAGGACTCCATGGTCATTAATGGTCATTAACTTCATGATTAGCAACACTCTAGAGCACTTGCCTGGCAAGCCAGACACCTAGGTTAGATTCCCAGCAGGGCGAAATGTGGGGCGAGTTTCCTCACTCCACACACCTCTGTTTATCTAGCAGTAAGTAGGAATCCAGTTGTTAGTCGTTTGGCAGATTGATTTTCCGGGGATAATCCCTCAAAAAAAACAATAATAATTTGGTCACTCAATCACGACTGTTTGTGGGACACTGCTGCTGCATTTCGCCCACAAAAATACACAGACAATTCACTTTACAGTATATTCTGTGAAACACTTTGAGAAGTCTAGAAGACATGAAAAGCACTATATCAAAAGCAAGGATTATTATTATGACTGTTTGATTACTGAGTATGCCTACAAAAATGGTTACTACACTTGTCAGTGATTACCTGTGAAGTTTTTCAAGATGTTTCAACTGGATAGAAATGCAAATTCTTTCTTGGTTTCACAAAAAAACTATATTGTGAGGCAGCCTTCCTGGTTTCCATGCGCAATTTACTTTTTATTTCTGGAGTATTCTAATTTACTATGAATAAGCCCTAGCATGAATTTAAAATGAAACCTAACCAAATTAAGGAAAAAGCAGTGCATGCAGAAGATTATAGAAACTGCAGTGGAAAAACACAGGTTTTTTTAATGTACCATTATGTTTATATCTATGTTCAAACATAGCCAACAGTTAGTCCAGTGATAAAACAACATTCACGTTGGGAGAATGTCTCAAAATGTTTTACAAAGATTGAGTGGAAGCCCGAGCTGGGAGAGAGAAAGGAAAGGTAGGGGGAAAGGTAACTGAAGGCACAGTCAAAGAGATTGTTTTTGAAAGAAGAGGCAAACTGGAGTCCTGTAGCTCAGTGGTTAGAGCACTCGCTTTGCGAGCGAGAGACCTGAGTTCAATTCCAGGCAGAGGGCGAAACCTTGGGCAAGTTTCCTTACTCCACACGCCTAATAATAATCCCTCCAAAAAAACAAAACAATAATAAATTGGTCATTTTCAATCTACGACTGTTTGTGGGACATTGCTGTGCGCAATTGGCTGCCCCGTTCACCCACAAATATACAGTCAATTCACTTTACAGTGTGTTCTGTGAAGCGCTTTGGGACGTCCTCCCGACGTGAAAAGCGCTATATCAAATGCAAGGATTATTATTATTATTATTATTAAACGACAAGGCAGAGAGATTTTGGAAAGAGTTCCAGAGAGCGGAGCAAAATGGTTGAAAGCTCAACAACCAATGGTGAGGTAGAGTAGTAGGGGCATAAAGGAGGCTTGAATTGGTGGGAGTGGTCAGGAACATAGGGGACCACAATAGTAGGGGAGATACCTCCCAGACCGACTGTGAGCACAACAACAACAACTTGGATTTATATAGCGCCCTCCACGCCGGACGGCGTCTCAGAGTGCTTCACAGTAACTGATCCCAGGGCCGAGCCAGGGGAAGGGGGAGGAAGGTGACCAAAGGCGCGGTCGAAAAGAAAGGTCTTAAGCAGAGATCTGAAAATAGGAAGAGAAGGAGCGAGACGAAGGGAGTGGGGAAGGGATTTCCAGAGCCTCGGGGCATAGTGGCTGAAGGCACGGCCACCGAGGGTGGAGCGGAGGACAAGGAGGAGGCCAGACCCAGAGGAACGAAGGCAACGGGCATTGTTTTGAGGAAAGAGGTCAGAGAGGTAGGGGGGTGCAGAGGAGTGCAGGGATTTGAAGACAAGGGTGAGGATCTTGAAGTCGATCAGGTAACCGGATGAGAGCGGGAGGAGAAGCTGTTTGTGCAGATGTACTACTGGGGGTTTGTGAGGTAGGACCAGGCGAGTGCGGTCCCACTGAGGTAGATGACGGAGGAAAGGCGGTGGAGGAGGATGGCGTGATCGACTGTGTCGAACGCCGCGGAGAGGTCCAGGAACTAACTGTTTCAGCTGTAATCCCACTCAAACCAGACATTGCCTGTTTACACAAACAGGATCAATCAGTACCAGTTGCAATTCAAGTACTTGAGAAAGAGGAGGAACTTCCTGAAGATTCCGATTCAAATTACACCAGGCGAAATGATGCCTGACAAAAGACAATCAATGTTATTATACATTACTAGGCAGAGTACGTCTGGGTAGTTCCTGACATTTAAGAATTGAATCGATTTATGAAGCTGCTCAGAGGGAATTAACCCTTCTGTTTCCAGATTTGTGGATTTTTGTTTTTAATATAGTTAATTATGATGTGTTATATGTGAACCATGCTTGACCATGTTATGTTACAACAACTAGTGACTGAATTTTTCAGAAACCAAATCGTTATTGCAGAACTCCAGGAAAAGAAGAAAACTTGTAAGATTGGGAATTATGATTTTGTACGATTATGCTTATTTGTTATATTCTTATTGTAATCAGTCATATAATAAGATAGCCTTTGCGGTTAGTTTTTTTAAATAACAATTCACCTTGCTAAAATAATGTCCGATATTTGCATATTCCTGTAAGAATTAGCCTATCTGCCAAGGATTTACAAAAATATGAACAATGTAAAGGAACAAAAATTGGCTATCAATTTGAGAAAGAATCATATAAAATATTCAACAATCTACAAATTGGCCAGGGTAACTCCACATCCAAGAAAGGATAAATGTAACAGAATTGAGTATTCTTTCCGGGAATAGAGACAGAAGCACTTTGTTATGGAATAAACAGTGTCACTCCCTGTATTTGTCGAGGGAAAAGGTGTGTATTCTGATTTGGCAATAGCGCATAATATTTAATAATGTGCCGCATAGTACAACGAGAGACGTGCATGTATCTGATGTCCTGATGTATTAACCTAGAATGCATAACAGCAGACCTTTCAACATTCTGTGGTTATTTCCATACAATGAAGGGATGGTTTGCCAGAAATGCTTTAATATCAGCTAAATGGCGATCGGTATGGTGGGAAAGATTTGGACAAAGACTTCATGTGAGAGCCAATGCACCAGAAACTGAACACAATTGAGCTGCTAATCACATCACAATGTGTCAAAGTACAAGGAACAGACTCTTTTTAACCTCTGCTGGTTAAAAACGGGATTCTAAAATTTCCACCAAGCAGTCAGAACAGACTCTGAAATCTGAAGTACATTGGTGCAAAGGCATTTGCTCTGAACATGTGCTGCAGGTTATTGAACCATTTGAAGATTCTTAAAGAGCTATAAATGCTGGGTACTTGTATCAACTGAGTTCTATACGACTCCAGATTATGTTGCTCAAAGGAAGGTTTTGTGCTGATGTGATGTCCTGAGTAATGTACAACTCGTATGCGGGCTACATGATAATAAAGACTAGTCACTGAAGAACAGGTCCTTCTGAAGCTTGTGATGGTGGACTTGCTACATGATATATAAAGTTTGAAAAGTTAATTTTCACCCGGCTGTGTGAGCTCGATTGTCTTGGCATCCTGAGCCACACAAAGACTCACAAATGTGTCAACAATTAGATTTAAATTAAATTCAAATAAATAAAATTAAAATATAGTGACGATTCCCTCTAGAAAAAAGAGAAGGGAGTTTCTCTTGATATTCTGGCCAACACCCTCCAAATACATTGAACAGGAATGTACTTTGGACTTTGACACGCGCCAATGACTGCAGTATTTGCATATTAAAAAAACAAGTCACAACAAAGAACCGTTACTGTGACATGTTTTGACATGATTCAACATTATACAGGCTAGAAAATCACAAGTTCTTTTACAAAATCAGCCTTTGCTGTTGAACCTAACACTGAGGAAACACAACTTCAGTGTAGTAAAGCTAAGGAACAGGCTCCCTTGGGAGACACTAGAAACAGGAAGTGTTGATTCTATCAAGAACAAATTAGATAAGATTTCTGTTAGGAAATAGTATCTTGGGATAAGACATGCGCATGCGACTGCCAAAATGGTGGAAGGCGAACTGGATGGTCCTTGGTCTTCTTTCGCACAGCAAATTCTTATATTCTTAACAAGTTTGCTAAAACACACTCTATGAGTTTATGCAAATGTGTGAAAGAAGTCAGCCCTCACACTCCCTTGATTTTGATAAGCCTTTTCCATTGAGAGGAGTCCAAAAAACACAAGAAATAGAGGTTAGCTTAACATTTCAGAGCTACAGTTAAAAACAGTTTTTTTGCGGAATGAGCATAATGAGGGCAGACAATCCTCTTTTTCTGAAGGACACTTCCTCCCACCCCGACTCCTGTAAAGACTCCATTCCCTTTTCCCAATTCCTCCAGCTCTGCCCCATCTGCTCTGACGATGCCATCTTTCATACCAGAGCAACTGAAATGTCTTCCTTTATGTTTAATCCTCTTTTTCTCTTTCCTATCTTTCTTTCCCTCCCTGTCCTACTCACACAGATCCGCTGAGTCATTTAATTCTTGCGGCTGAGGGTGGAGCAGCAGTCTGGTCTGAGACCAAACAATACTCCTTTGATACAACTGCCAGTAGGTGAACAGAAAAGACCATTTCCAATCTTTCCTCTTTCCCTGGGAGACACCTGCCCATCCCTCAGAGGCACCTGCCCTTCCCTCGCAGAGCCTCTCCAAGCGGTGTGCTCAACAGGAAAAGCTTGTCAAGGAGGCAACTGAACATGGGTTCTTCCAGCATACTGCAGAGCACCACCAAGGAAGCCATTCAAAAAGGTATGTTTTTAACTGTAGCTCTGAAATGTTAACCAAACTCCATTTCTCAATGTACTTTAAAGCTGCAGTCTGACTGAGCAACAACAACAACAAATTACATTGGTACAGTGCCTTTCAAGTTGGAAGTACATCCCAAGCCGCTGACTAGTCAGAAATATGGACCCGAGCAGTGGGTTGGGATTGGAGGGGCAGAGGACAGGGAGGGCATGAATAAGAGGGTAGCCAAAGGCGTGGTTGAACAGAGGGTCTCTAGACTGCCTTGAAGGAGGCAAGGGAGGGAGCAAGGCGAAGGGACTGCGGGATGGAGTCCAAAGCACTGCTTTGAATGCTGCTCAATTAGCTGGATTGGACTGCAGTGAATTTCTGCCGTGTAATTAGCTCCATCATTACTCTATGATGGAAGGTGTATATGCAAGGTGTTAAATCACAAATACAAGCTGCAATTTCCGGCTTGCAGCAGTGAAAATACTACCTCAGGGTTTACGAAAATGACTCTGGTTATTCGTCAAATGCCTTTCAATGTCAATCCAAGATCCAGTGGTCATTCTGTAACAGAACCAGTCTGTGGTTTTCATAGCCATTGCTTGAAGACCATTGTCCTAACATTTAAAATGATGCAACATCTTGAATTTTTTTTCAATTTACTCTTAATTTGGCAGCATATGGTTCATTTTAAGAACATTTTAATAACAGCAGAAAACATGTCAAATTAAGACCAAATTGAAGAATTTTCCAAAATGTTTGCACGATCTAGTTTTTCAGACTGCGGTCTTAAAGCTAAGGCCATGAGAATTTTCAGGCTTCTAAACTCAAAACGGAGAGTTCCATTTGTAATGTTTGTCAATCCAGAACACAGTTTCGATTCAGTAGTTCCTTATTTAAACCTTACACTTCCAAAGTCCAATTGCCAATTAAGTCTTAAAGCAATATTCAACACCATTGCCAATACGGTACTCCATCTTGTGGTCCAATGCAAAACTGACAATACGTACCCAATGGTTTAACTTAAATGCAGTTTCCAGTGATTGCAAAAGACTGAATAAATCAATTATTTATTGGTTCCAGCTTTCTTTTCAACGATTCTGGATGCAATTGTAACCTTATTGAATAATCCTCCCTCTGGTTATTAAAACTTACTCAAACTTTTTAAACTTGAAGTGTTTTGCAGGCTGTGGTTCTGTATACGCAGTCCAATTTGTAGCCACACAACTGGTTGTAATGGAAAGCAGGGTTGTAGGGTGTAGAACCTCTGTCCCAAGAGGTTTCATGTTTTCATTTCAGCCATTTTGTGTATCATCTCAAGACCACAAGCAAGGTCCAGACATAGAAAGCTGTTTAACTTCATTGTTCCTGAATTTCAACCAAACTATTTTCCCATTGCAGCATTAAGCTGTTTCTCTGGAGAAACAGCTTGATGCTGCAATGGGAAAATAGTTTGGATTCTCTACGAATCCAACGTACTGGACTGTACCAACCTTCCCGGTAATTCTCAAACTACCACCTCACCTGCCTCACTCCAATTCTGAGAATGTTTCCCTGCCACATACACGCTTTAGAGCAAATCTTCCCTCCCTACATTGGCAAACCCTTTCGTTCTGAGTTAACAATCTCTTTGTTGCTGCAGAATCGTTCCTCCTGTTCCTATTGCAAAAGAATGGGATTAACAGCAGGTCTTGAATTTCTCAGCCTCTCAAGGTCGCCTTCATTAGGTTATTGTTGGGGACCTGTTCATTGGATTAAATTGATGTGATGACAAGGGTGCTTGAAGTCCCTGTAAGATCCTGGGTGTCAAATGCAAAATATTTGCAACCCAGAAATTGCAAATGATCTCACGTCCTCATGACGTGAAAGGCACTATATAAAAATGCAATTTGTAGCCACTGAATCCCACTGGTAACCACGTGTGTATTATGTCAACATATTTCAATGCAACCAGAAGTACATGTGGGCCAATAAATCCTCTAAATAAAACTGGTCAATCACTCCATGGCTACTTGTGGGTCATTGCTGTTCACAAATTCGCTGCCATGTTTTGCTCACAAAATACACTTTACAGTATATCCTATGAAGCACTTTGAGATGTCTTGACGGCATGATAAGGCGCCATAATAAAGCAAAGATTATTATTTATATAATAAAAATAATATATTTATATAGGACCTTTCACATCGGGTAGACGTGTCAAAAGCACTTGACTGGGTAACACCATATTGTAAATATCACATTTTGATTCCATTATCAAGAAATTTGGGGAACTCTTACTTTGTAAATGTATGAACCTCTTTTTTTTAAAAACCCTACTTACATCCTCCCTTTTGCATTGCAATGACTTGGTGATTATCTGTTCCCGATGCTCTGACACGGTCACTAGGAGGTGCCATTGCTCAGCACCTCCTCCACCATCCATTGTTATAAACACCCCAAAGCTGTATTAGAATCTTGGGCAAGATTGCATCTCCCCTACTCCATCTCTAAACTACTAGTTAACAATTTGTACACTACAACACTGAATAATACACAGAAGAAGGGTCACAGGTTCAATCCTTGATCTGTGCCCAGTTAGATAATCTCAAATGCGCAGCAGTTGGGACAATACAATTGGCCTCAGTCTCCTCAATGCCAGTATTTCTGCTCCTTGTTCAATTTGGTGACTCCTACAGGAAAAATGTGCGTGGGCATCAAGTGAGCTGAATATCAGGTCAGCTGTGATGATCTCCACAACCCCAAAAAAAGATACTAGTCAGCCTCGCACACCAAGAATGATCGCTTGGGCAAAATACTGGAGATCTGAAACTCTGTGTAAGTCACCACTTCCAGGAGAGGGGGGGAAAAAAACACATGGTTTGACACAATTTCAAAGTATCATAGCAAGCAGTTATGAAACCTAAATGGCATTTATTTTATTCTGTGGCAAACAGTGACTGATGGGTTCTCAGGCTCCACAAATACTTCGGCTGGCAAGAGATTCAAGAATTGAGCAAGATTTCATGATTCGTTAACACAAATGAATACACGTTTAACTCGTGTACTTTTTTTTTAAAAAAGACCTTTATCGACCACATTCCAACTACAGAAGTCAACAAAGAAACCGATATTACTGAATTGGTGTAAACAGGGTCATCAAAGAAAGGTAAGAAAGGTAAGATAGGACCTGAACTCTCAACCCTCTGCCTGTGTGGTAGTGCTGCCCGCATTACTAAATACACAAACTGTGACACCTTTCCCCTTCTCCAAATGGCAAATATACCAAAGCCAGAAGCAAGCAGCAAGCAATCGTTTGCACAAGTAAGCGACAAAAGAATCTGAGTTTTCTGTAGGTACAAAAAGAACAATTGCATCTGTCCACTAACCTGTTTAGGAGAAGCCTTTTGACCTCCATGAGACCTCATATGACCATTGAGGGCGGGCAGGCTCTTAAATTCTTTGTGGCAGATTGTACATGTCAGTCTGCTCTTGACGTCTGCTCTCTCCTGAAAAGCACCCCTGCCTTGTCCGCTGTTTGTGGAGACACAAGGTGCCATAGGTTAATAATTCAATTAATTCGGTGAATAACACAGTCTTAAAACTTAAAACAAGAAATGTATTACTGCAGAATCTTGTAAAATACTTAAATTCAATCTCAAGTTTGAGAAAGCTTTAAAAAAAGCTTTAAAGTTAAGACTCAATCTAAGAATTTTAAATCAAATAAACGTAAATAAAACACACACACAATATCACCCTCCCACTCACCCCCCTCCCACACACACATTAACACCACACACACTAAAATGAATCGCTTTGGTGAATAATGTTGCTTGCTCCGTCGAGTAGTTCTTCCTTACAGATCTCAAGGTAGTCTCTCAAAGCAGTGCTATTGAGGGGAGAGTATGAGATGACAGGTCCGAAATAAAGGTTAAAACCTCTCTGAATAAGAAAATGGGGGGCAGTCACAACACACATACACAAATTGTGGAAGGAAATTATTTAAAGATGTTCGCTGTTTGATTTGGGACCACCTTCCTCAAAGGAAAGTACAAGAATAAGAACAAGGTTGCAATGCTGTAATGAGAAATGTACATTTTGGGACAGAGGTCGATCAAAGCAAGGATGTTCGGTGATCTCTCATTCCAGCTGGGAAACCCTTCTGGAGATTCGGTGCATAGAACTGGAGGGTGAGAGTGTGATCAAACTTGACACTAATTCTCTCCATCTGAACACTGGGGATGCTGTAGGAGGAGATTACGTGGCTTTGAGTCCTCTCTCTGACTTTCCTGCTACAGCGATCCAGAGAGTGTCTTCGTGATAGGCTCCAATGGGAATTTACCACTGAAGGGAGCAGTTTTATAAGGGAGTTGTTTTATCAGTGATATTTTGTTCAGGTACAAGTAGAAAACTGATGTTTGTAATGGCTTTGCTTACAGTGATTGTCCCAAAGGAAGAACTTAAAGCTGGTAAAAAAAACACTAATCCTCTCCATCACCACCTTGGATAAATTAAGATTTTAAAGTATTTCCTTGCAGGCAGTTTCACTCAAATGTGTCAGGTAGAGATGGGAATCATAAATACCCATGGTTTTATTGATTACTAGAAAGTGACAAACCTAAAAAGAGCTTCTCTATCAACAGATATATAGACATTCTAGAAACAAATGGTTACTTCTTTTGATAATCCACCTTCAGTAAGAGAAACAAAGCTGGGGCAGCAGATTCTGAAGTGCTCACTACAGAAAGATAAATGTTTGTGTAGGTTGTGGATCTGCAACGGGTCCAGGAGCCAAGGCATCACCAGGTCACGTGAAGGGCAAGCTCCATTCCCTTGGAGAATGTTGCCCCAGCCCACTCTCACACACCTCAGTGGAAAAGGGTCTTCTCTGGGGGATGGTTGATTGACCAAGGAGAGCAGAGAAGGGGATAAATGGAGACCAAAAAAAGTACATTGAGATCTTTTGCGCTTTTGACGATCAGATTGCACAACAGTTGCCAGGAAGCAGGGATCCAAGATAATTTTGCTTAATCTTCCTTCCCATCCTTTCCTATGCATGCCTGACAAATAGCAATCACAATGGAGTAGGATTTTGCTGTTATTTCTCCCTCCCCCTCCCTAGTAATAGAGGATTAGAGGAAGATCATCCTGTTTCTCAGGTGACCGACACAAACAACATATTGGCAGCCGCAAGTACTGGTGACGAAACGTATCTTTAGAGCCTTAAACAGTTTACAAACTCCACAGTGAAAAGCACTAATAACTGCTTTTAATTGGACGGACAAGGGAGGGGGGGGAGAGAGAGGAAAGATTTGTTTTGGAGGCTAAGAGTCATACAAGCTCTATTAACTGAAAAAAACAAGATATTTCAGAAAATACAATGAAGGAAAACAAATACAGAAAACTGGAAAGTTGAAAGCATACTCTGCAGAGTGAAATAATAAAATGGAAACGGTCACTGAATATAGCACGTGATCTTGCATCTGACAACTGTTTGAAGTCATGAACAGTTGAATCAGGTTCAATATCCAACCCGAGGTTCAATGCAGTCTGAGGAATGGTCATCGTAGCAGAAGATAACAGGTGGGGTTTAAGGGCCTACAGATGAGTTAGTTTGATTGAAAGGCGTGGGTCCAGGGCAGTGCTGGATTCTCTCTGGAAAGCATGAGCAAATCCCAAATTGCACATCTATGCAGCAACAGCTGGAGCAGATGGAAAAAAGATTTCTTTCCCCCCCCAAAAAAAAACAGTCCCGTAAAGATTCTGGCACAAAGAACAAAGTCAAATTCCAAGGAATGAACATCATACTATTAATACAAATATTTGGGCTCGTTAGTGGCTGGGGACAAAGACAAACTGTGCCTAATTCTTACAACTAAACATTTTATGTTTGGATCATTGGACAGAGTGGGTCAAGGCCACGATAGATTAGGTTGTGAGCTGTCCACGAAAGAGTGGGCTTGACAGGCGATAACTTCCAAGCTTTCTCCTGTTCTGAAGCTGGGCTGACACTCCAATGCAGTGCTGGGCGAATTCTGCTTTGTCTGAGAGACTTTAAACAAGGCCCTGTATGTATGCCTGTTCAGTTGGCTGCTAAAGATCCCATTACGTTATTTGAAAAGAGTTTCTCTCGGTTTTCTGGCCAACAATTCCCCAGATAGAACTGATCATCCACTTCATGGCTGTTTGTGGGATGTTGCTCTGTGGAAACTGGTAGCCACATTCACCTACAAAATACACAGTTCTGTGAAATGCTTTGAGACTTCCTCCTGATGCGAAAAGCACTATAGCAAATATAAAGATTTTTCTTTTTAAAAGAGTGCTCTAGCTAAATGTTAGAGGTTGGCATTTGCCATTTCTGCTCAAACATTAAAAAAAAATCTGCTGTTGTGCAATATGGAAGAAACAGCAGTTGTGGAAGGAATCCATTCTTCTGGAAGGAGTAAGATGCCATTTTAATAATAATAATCCTTGAATTTGAATTTTCACGTCGGGAGGACGTCCGAAAGCGCTTCACAGAATACACTGTAAAGTGAATTGACTGTATAATTGTGGGTGAACGCGGCAGCCAATTGCGCACAGCAATGTCCCACAAACAGTCGTAGATTGAAAATGACCAATTTATTATTGTTTTTGGTTTTTGGAGGGATTATTATTAGGCGTGTGGAGTAAGGAAACTTGCCCAAGGTTTCGCCCTTTCTGGAATTGAACTCAGGTCTCTCACTTGCAAAGCGAGTGCTCTATCCACTGAGCTACAGGACTCCATTTTAGCACCGTGAGTGGATGTTTACCAGAGTTACTTGGACCACCAATAAAAACGAAAAACGAGTCTTCAAAAACCACGCAAAACGGTAGTGCTATCCTGCTTCATGGGGCACAAAAAACATACAAACATTTATTGTATGATACATTAATCTTTTAAAATATATTAAAATTGAACCTGCTTTGGCAAACGTTCTGTAATGAACAAACTGCTGCTCAAGGTTGCAATATGCAGTTAATCCATCTCTACAGCTGGATGGGTAAAATCCTTTTATAGTGAATTAATTTCCTAACCTTTTTACAATTAATTCTAAATCTATAGCTCCTGTAAAATGCCACCAAGTAGCTTCCAAATTACATAAAGGTGTTGAGGAACATAAGATTACACTTATGTTCCTCAGATGGTGTCAGAATTTGTGCCCCATGAAGCAGGATAGCACTGCCATTTGCTAAAGATTCTCCAGTTTCTGTGATATTTTGATTTCGCAGCATTTTTGGAAACCAGAATTTTTTTAAAAAAAATCAGCTACTATTGCTATTGAGAAGACAAATTGTTCTGGGATTTATAAACCCAAATTTCTATGTTTCTATGAAAGAACTGTATAAGATAGCCACTTCACTTCAATCGAAATTAGATCCACAATTAAACACGGACCTCTTCATGTTTTCACGTAAGAATCCAATGCATTTCACAACAGACAGAAACATTTCTTTTTGACCACCACATTTCATTGGGAAACAGCCTGTTTAGTAAACTGACTTCTAGCATTCTTCTACACGATTCAGAAACCACACATTTGTCTTCAGTTTTACCGATATACGTACTGCAATAATGCAGCTGATCCCTAACAAACCCATATAAATAATAATAATAATAATCCTTGCATTTGATATAGCGCTTTTCATGTCGGGAGGACTTCCCAAAGCGCTTCACAGAACACACTGTAAAGTGAATTGACTGTATATTTGTGGGCGAACGTGACAGCCAACTGCGCACAGCAATGTCCCACAAACAGTCGTAGATTGAAAATGATCAATTTATTATTGTTTTTGGTTTTTGGAGGGATTATTATTAGACGTGTGGAGTAAGGAAACTTGCCCAAGGTTTCGCCCTGACTGGAATTGAACTCAGGTCTCTCACTTGCAAAGCGAGTGCTCTAACCACTGAGCTACAGGACTCCATATGAGGCCTTGGTGAGTTTACAGTCGAAGCTGATATTCCAGTGCAGTGGTGAGGGAGCGATCCATTGTTGCAGGTGATGTCCTTCGGATGAGACATTAAAATCAAGGTCCAGTCTGTCTGTTCATCTGGATTTTAAAGATCACACGGCAAAAAGAGAAGGGAGTTTCTCCCAATCTCCTGACCAACAATCACAGGCCATTTGTGGTACATTGTTGTGCCAAATTGCCTGCCACATTCACCTAGAAATAGTCACTACAACTTTCAATAAAATGTGAAATGTGCAATATCCTTTTATCACTATTTGGCTTAAATACTGGGGTAAAATCCATTGCTTACCTGAATTCCATAGACAATTCACCTGGCCTCATGTCAGCTAAAGACACCTGGAAGAAAAATTAACAAATCTTTGCAATACTCCTTCAGTGATTAATGTTCCAAATCATGCAACCTTCCAAGCACTGATATTTGATGCATGTGATGAATTATTTTTCAATTGATTTTATGATTTAAAAAGTGAACTGAAGAATCTTCCCTCCTTTCCCTTCCCAGTGCACTCTTCTCTTGTGAGTAGCAGACATTAAACTTTTCCTCATCTCCGAACTCTCCCAGTATCCTCTTTTCATTAAACAAAACACAAAATACTGCAGATGCTGGAAATCTAAAAACAAAAACGGAAGTCGCTGGGAACACTCTGACGAAGGGTCATGGACCCGAAACACTGACTCACTTTCCTTTCTCCATAGATGCTGCCTGACCTGCTGAGTGTTCCCAGTGACTTCTGTTTTTGTTTTCCTTTTTTCATTGTTTGTTAATACATATTAAGGACCCTTGCAATTCCCTCTTTCCTTATACACGGGTAACCCGATCTTGCAAATTAGACCCTATAAGAAGTATGGGGAGGAGGAGAATAAAATACTCGTGGACAATTATAGCCCAAAATTCCACCTAGTCTTAGAGTTTTAAGATAAAATGGTCCCGTTGGTTAAGGGCACATAGAATTGCAGAAAATTAAATTCAATCGTGTGTGTGTGTGTGTATATATGTGTGTATTTAGGAATTATTTTTAGGAACTGCAGAAAACTGGCTTCCAAACTAAAGACTGAGTTTAACAATTTTGCAAGGCCTTAAATTTCAAGGCCTTTATAGATTAAGATGAGGTGGAAGTTTAGGGAATTATGAGGCATATGATTTCTGGTTTAAGTTTGCTCTCATTTACAGTTTTAGCCCAGTTTCCCTTCCCCATATTACGGTTGAAATGCATCATATTATGCCTCCACTTTAAAGAAAACTAGGAACCAGGGTAGGATATTTTTTCTACCCTAACGATTGTGTTAAAATTGCTATAACATAGATCCACACTGAATATCCAGCAAACAGCAAATTGAGAACAGTTCTAAATCAGACACACACACTTCTTAAGACTCTCCTGTGTTTTACCTTCGACATTTGTGTGTAACCAAACAAACAAAAAAAACTACACAAATCAGTGGTTTTAGTAATTTTCTCAGACATTCTGAACCAAGAGTATAATCCCTCAATACATGCTCTATAATAACAAGAACAGTTGAATAAAGAAGAATTCAATTCACAAAAAAATCTGAACTTTGTTACATGGCACATTTGGCAATCTACCACTTATGTGGATAGTTTTGCAATTTGCAACATTTGGGACGTCCTCCCAACGTGAAAGGCGCTATACAAATATAATCTTGTTGTTGTTTAACAATTAACTTTAGCATTTGGATTTCGCTGTCAGTAATGAAAAATAACAAACATACACAAAGGATCACAAAGCAGCAATTCTTCTCTACACGAAAGCTTGGTCTCAAAATTGCCATGACACAGACATGCACCGCAGAGGACATGGTGAACATCAAAAGCCTAGTCATCAAAAAATTCCATCACTTCAGCAGCAAAGGTTCCAAGTAGCTTATAACCACCGCTGAATCCATAGATTCCTCAAAATCACCCATCCCTGAGATCCTGGTATTTTTTGACGAGTGTTTTGTTAAGTAAATTATATAATTCTGGTTTCTGGATTTGCTCCAGTGGCTCAAGCAAGCAGGCGAGACCTCACACGTGTTTACTCTGAGTTAACTTTTCTTTGTGATCCTTCGCTTGTTTAAAACGAAGCAGACAACCAGAGTGGTCCATTTATTTAACAGGCAACCACAATCGCGCTGAACGGTTGCAGCAAAATTATTGCAAGCGAATGGAAACAATCGGTGGTAGCTCATTGTCAGAAGCATAATGGGATCTAAGCTGTGGTTTAAATTCATCATTTCCTCATGTATCAGAAGTGAAATAGCCAGGTGTGCTGGAGGAAGACTCTACTCCTCTCCACCCCTCCCTCTGACAAAATTTTCAATGCTGACATCCACATTGCTGAATCACGCACTTGTTCTCTGACTCGTGCCGTTTGACTGCTGGCTAGTAGGAATCTAGATTTTAACCAAGCAAAGATACTCTAGTTGGGTAAACATCTCTTCAACTGGAGAGTTGAGCGAGTGAAAACAGGATCTCTAGAGCTGAGCTGGATTCAAGGTGACATGCTTGACATTGGGATGTTGGAATCTATGATGCTCTCAATAGTCCAGTTCCTGAGTCAGGAGGCCCACAATACTCCAGGGCACTGCTGATGATGGATTAGCCATCCTGGCTCACCAGCAGTACTTGGGAGGGGCAGACCAGCCATTGATGGCAGGAATTTTCCCACTCAGCTTCTGTTAAGCTGGCAAAGTCAAAATCCTAACAGATAGGGTAGGTAGGGTGATCCTAGTTAGGTTCACTTTCCAGACAGTGCTCTCAAAGGCAAATTTTGTGCTTTTAGCAACATTCCAGTACTAGCCCCCAAAACACACTCTGGGTCCCCGTACAAGCCTTCACTCTCCCCAAATTACACCTAATAATCTCCAGAATTAGGTAAGAGTTCAAAGTTAAAACATCTGTATGAAGGATACAACAATTGATGTGAAAAAGACAGTTTCATTTTTTAAAAAAAATCCTGTGTCACAAGATTGCGATTCTAAAACAAAAAGGAAAAGTGTAATAATTGCAGAGTTTTATCTTTTAAGACTGAGGGGGGAAAAAAATCCCCATTAACACGAATGGATATGCGGACAAATTCCGACCAAAATGCTGCATTAATTCACAACTTTAAAAAGGAGTTGGATAAATACCTGGCTGGAGGTTATATTCACAACTATATCTTGAGATACTCAAACACCCTATTATGGGACACCAGGTTCCTGAACTTCAGGAATAAGAGAAGGCTGCCTGTCGAGGGCAAAAGAGGGCAATAGAGGGCAGGATTCAATTGTGCAAAACTCAGGCAAGCGAGCATCATCCCATGTGATTAAACAGGTCTATCATCATTTGCACTCTTTCTGATTACGCGTCTCACAACTACAGGGGGACGTTATTGTAGGGGAACGCTCAGCAGGGTCTAATAACTTAGCAATTGTGTTATAAACGAGATGATGTCAGCTGCGCATAACAACATGCTCGCACGCAGGCAGCAACATTGGAACGCTTCCTGTCCATTGCGCACAGCAAGATTTTAAAAGCAGAAAGCAGTCTAGTCAGGGCACTTCTGGAAGCTCCAAAATAGACCCTGCATAACTTTAAAAGAGCCAGCACAGACACAATGGGCCAAATAATAATAATATTTCTTGCATTTGATATAGCACCTTATCACGTCTTCATGACGTTTTAAAGTGCTTCATAGAATACACTGTAAAGTGAATTGACTGTATATTTTTGTAGGCGAAACAAGGCAGCCAATTCTGCACAGCAGTGTCCCACAAACAGTCGTGGATTGAGCGACCAAATTATAATTTTTTTTTAAAGAAATTATTATCCCTGGAAAAAGTGTTACGCCAATCGACTAACAATCGAGTTCCTACTTACTGCTAGGTAAACAGAGGCGTGTGGAGTAAGGAAACTTGCCCAACATTTCGCCCTGCAGGGAATCAAACCCAGGTCAGTCCTAACCACTGAGCTACAGGACTCCAAAATGGCTTTCTTGTGTCCTGCAAATTTCTATGGTTCTATGGCAGTGCTGTATCAAAAGGTCAAAATAATAGGGTTCCCTGTATTCCCAGATGTTCCTAGACAATAATTATGAGCAACACACAATACAACTCACATCTTATTGAGTTTTTAAGCAATGGCTAAAACACGTTTGCTTTCATGTAAATTGGTTATGAATATACAATATTGTTAACGTAGAATAAGTGCAAAGTAGCCAGTTTAAAATCTATTCAAAAACAAAAACAATAAAAATATTGTGTTGACTTAACCATTATAAAAAGCAGCTGGACTAATATTTTCTTTGGGTACAGAACTAAAGAGGTGATGTACAGATGGAGATAATCAAATGAACTAAGGTAACTAACTGGAGATGTATAACATAGAATTAAATGATAGTGATAGTCTACAATTTTGTTGAGATTTTTTTATGGGGGTGGAAGCAAAGAAAGAAATATGCTTTTCCTCAAATTGATTCAAATGGGCCAGGAAAGGTGATGGGTAGAGCATGGACATACAATGTCTCTGGAATCAGAAAGCAGGGTGGACTGAATGACCTTTTCTCCATCCAAGCCATAATGAGTTAAGATACAACAAATAACTAAAATTAAATTAAAAAGCTTGCAAATATATAGTGTCAAGCTTCAAACCCAGCACCGCGTTAATGTTACCCAGCACACTACGTCGATGCGTATGGGTTTGTGTATGAATATGTTCTTCCCAATCCCCACATTTAGAGTTTCTAATTGTAGAAACATGTTAAAACTTCAAGATGGACAGCCAAGTCACTGCCTGAAATGCAACTCCTTCACACAACTTCAGCAGAAAAACAGTTACAACTTTTTACATTCTCTCACTTTGCAAATAAGAAGACCCGAGAGCATGTAAGGCCCATTTAGGAGGTTTACCTGAGACCAAATATGATTAGGAGATTGTTGTGGAGATACCTTGACAGGTGCATGCGGAATATTAGGTGGTGTTACAAGATGTCTTTGAGGTACCTTAACAGCTCCGGGATGAGCCATCTTATTTAGTTCCTTTCTTGAATTTTCCTCTGCACCCTCTGAACTAGAGGTGCTGGTATGAGAACCTACTGAAGCCTGAATCCTACTTTCAGCATGGAATTGAGTCTGCTGCACAGCTTCCTCTTGTTGCTGGTGCAGTGCATTCTGCTGGTACATATGCCGATAGTGCGACTGGTCTTCATAGAAATACTGAGAAGGTGCAGCCATTTGAATATGCTGAGGATGGTGGGAAGGCGGGTCTTGGCGGGAGTACTGATGCGTTTGTGGCAGGACCTTGCGGTTCTGCTCCCGATGATATGGTGGTGGTGGTAGCATGGGCTGCTGCATAGGTTGCTGTAACTGGCATAAAGCCTGCTGGCTTTGATAGTAATGTGCAGGGTGCATGTGTCGCTGCTGCTGCTGCTGCTGCTGCTGCATCTCCTGTGCGGAGGTGTGTTGCTGCGACAGCTGCTGTTGGTGCATAAAGTACTGTTGCTGGGGCAGCTGCTGGAGTTGCTGAGAAAGGACTTGTTGAGCCTGAAGCTGCTGAACGTGCGTCTGCCCGTGCTGTAACACTGACTGCGACTGCAGCATTTGTTGGTAGTCAAAATACATCTGCTGCTGCTGCTGTTGCTGCTGCTGTTGCTGCTGCATGGCTTGTATCTGTTGTTTGTGCTGTGCAACCGGAAAGGCACGATGCATTTGCTGTGGTAAAGATTGCTGGAATCTCTGTATCTGATGCACAACAGGTTGCTGCTCAGCGGGAGGCTTCTGTGACAGCAGTTGCCGCAGTGCGCTGTCATGCATGCTCTCGGCGATGGAGGCCTGGCTCGGGAGAGTCTGCGATATGTTGCTCGACTGCGGAATTCTGAGGTTCTGACTCGCAAAGACTTGCGTGAAGGAGTCCAACTTGTGCAGGACGCCGCTGGTCATTTTCTGTGAAGGGTTGTCGTTTGCCTGAGAATATACGTACAGGTATCCGTCCGTGTCGTCAGTCTGGGCACTGGAGGTCCACATCGTGTTGGCACTGGCAAGGTCGTTCCGTATTTGAACGTGATTACCTGTGCTGGAGTGGGGCCAGCTGGTTGGCCTGGATGGTTCAATCATGTTGCCGTGGCTTTTGACTGGCAAAGCTCCTGCAACTGCAGCCTCCCTGGTATCTGGAGGAAAATGAGGAGATACAGGAGAGGACTGAGATGCATCCATGCTTGCAGATGCATAACTATGATTCATGCCTCCGCTCATTGTAGTCAGAGGGCTAGACTGCTGCTGATAATATAGACTGTCTGCGTTGTTCACAGTATGATTGGACTTAAATAGGGGTTGGTCTCCCATTTCTTGTTCCTAAGGCGATTCAATTTTTACAACATAAATAGACAATCAAGCTCCTCAAAAGTATATGACAAGATACCAAAAACAAGTTTAGAATCCTTGATTTCCCTGAGAGACGATCTTTTTCTTTCTATCCAAAGTGAAACGTCTGAATGATTTCTTTCCTCTTTTTGTTTCAAGTGGACAATGCTGGATCCCGGCCTGAAGTCAGGGTCAAATTGGATTGACGCAGCATCACATCTTCATTGAGACTTTTATGGCTGATCTCATCCAGATCCATTGAAACCAAAGCGCGAAAGTACCTGTGGTGAAAACAGAACAGATGCTGGTGGAAATGTGGATCTTAGGTTTAACTTTTCCTCAACACGTAACCACGGCCTTCAAAAGGGCGTCGAACATCTTAAAGAGTGCAAGGCTGTCATAGAGAACCCCTGCAGTTGTTCTGCACATAGCCCCATTCGAGAGGTCACTGAACACACCTTATTTCTTCTGATTAAGTTATGAACATTTTACTCTAATGGCTCAGTTCTGTCATTCCTGGGTTGCCAGAGATCGGGGGGAGGGGGGGAAATCACAATTGATTTTTCTTTGCAATTTTTTTTTTAATCTAGGCCACATCCTTTCACTGGTATCAGAAAATGTAGCATAATATTCCCAGTCCAGAGAAAGTCAGCATTACGATTCAGTTCAAAACAAAATACTTACTAACTGGAGTGTCTTTCATGCCCCCACTCTTAGAAATGAAGTGCGTAGCAGATGCGTGTCCCTTCGTGCTGTGTGGACGCTGCTTGGCATTTAGCTCACACTGACGGGCTATCATTGCCTGCAACAAAATCCCAAAAGGCAGCTTACTTTGCTTATCTATAGCCAACCCTTCCCACTGCCTCCCCCGCATCCCCCCCCCACCCACCCCAAACCACCCAACCCACACACAAACACACACGCATGGACTAGCTCCAAAACACATGCACACGCGCACATACAATAACACACTTACTCACACTCACTCCAGCTCCAAAATAGTAAGTGCCAGCTTGGTCTTCACTATGAAGAACAGGCAAAAATTAATCTGCAAATCATGTCAGTATTTTATTTTAAAATATACGTAGCGATCAGTTACCAATTCACTGAATGGCCAACTCACAACGAATAAAAATACACATTTAGCTTCACACAGCCTGCCTTCCAGAAACATGTTTTTTTCTCCTGTTTAATTCATCTGCATACAGTAGTAGTTTGAGCATGTAATCTAACCAGATCAGAAGGTATTAAATGGTAAAAATGCCTCCATTCTATGAAACAGGAAAGTGTAAACTTCCCTATCTGCTTCTGTGCAGGCATACGCCATCTCAAGGTGTGCTGTAGGATGCTATTATTAGATAATTGCTTTTTGGTCTTATTCAAATGAGACAGCTAACCAAATCACAACAGTTATGGAAAAATAAAGCTCTAACTGGTCACCCACAGTAGTTCCTCTAACACCACAGCAAAGTCAAGCAGCTGATTTTTTCAACTGTGCATTATGCATACTTCAGAAAACATTGTGAAAGGTAATAGGAGGGGACAGGCTATAAAGGAGAAGCTCGTTCCCTGCAATTATTTGCGTTACTGGCATGGTTTGCTCTTGTAACAAAACTATACAAAATGCAGGTAATTTGTTTGTTTCACAGCACACCAGTCCACGAGCCATGCAGAGTAATGCATCATCTACTAGGTGCTTTTATTGTGATGTTGGAGTCATAAACAAATATGAACAGTAGTTATAGTCAGGTTGATTCTTGTTGAAGATTTGGTGGAGCTGAATAGTCAAATGGAATGCGAGATGAATAGAAATGGTCAGTGAGTACAATTGTTTTTTGGGGGAAAAACAAAGTCCGAATTGCCAGAATTAAGAGCCAAAATACACGGACAACGAGTGAAATGCACCCAATTAGACCTGAATCACATCCATTTACTCACATTCACACCATAGGTATGCATACAGTTCTCTTGTCGAGCAGCCAGACAGAAAGGAGACGCTGAGGTGAAGAGCATTTCTAGTCTCACCTGGGTCTGTGCATTTGTTGTACGTTTTGATTTCCCTCTTCGGTTTTATTCTGACATTAGCAAGCAACATTCTTCTATTAATCGGCAAACACCTTTTGAAAAAAAAGTGATGAAATGGTTAGCACATACATACACACTTCACATTTCTTCACGGCCCATCAAAACACAGCAGAGGTTTACACAGTATCTAGAAAAGTCTGTGCCTTCACATCAGAATGAAAAGTACAACATATGATGTGAAAGTTGACTTAAAATAGTATTCCCTGAACCAGCACTGAAATGCTGCAATCCCACGAGCCGGCTCCATAAAGATATGGTTTGGGGCAGCACCAGTTGAACAAAGTGGGTAAGGACGTAGGAGAGAATGTCTCCACACTGGAAATATCCAGAAGTGTAATAAGAAGTAATACTTATTACATCCCACATTTCTCACCCTGTAGGACTTTTCTTGTCAATCTACTTCCTCTGTACACTCTGGTTACAAACGAGAGGAATTTTATACCAGTTGTACTGCAAAGGGTTAATAAAAAAGGTTCTCCTGTGTAACCCATGCATGTGTCATAGTGCGCTAGCAGCTATAAGTGAACATGTGTGGAAAGGACATTTGCCTACAGTAAGGCTCACTTAAACCAACCAAAAGTCATGAAATGGTCAGATTTCTTGCTCAGATCCAGAACAGTGCCTTGAAAACTTACTCAAATCAAAAAGGAATTTTTAACTAATTAAAAGTCTAATTCTTTCTCGCTTTAGAATAACAAAAGGCAGTGATTCCTGAGATCTGTGCACTTCAGTTATGCAGTGCATCACTGACAGAACACAGCAGAACCTAGATGCAACGCCTTCAACAAGTCTAGACGTCAAATCCACTGCTGGACGTTCATTTCATTTTCCTGACGTGTAGAATTTGTGCTATGAGTATTACTTCAGGCTGTTTATGTAATTGCTCCACCCTGGAGAACAAACTCATTTTGATTTGTCTGGAAAAAAATATCCTGTGTCAACTTGCAATGCTTCAGTCTTTGAAAGAGACAACAGGGAGAGTAGTCAAGGACCACACAAAATCTATTACGTAAAACAACAGTTGGTAGGTCCTGAAAGGTGATGTAGAAAAAGGGCGAGTGTGAAGAAGGTGTATTTCTCAGTGCAATAATAATAATCCTTACATTTGGTATTGTGCCATTCACGTCAGGAGTTGCCTCCCAAAGCACTGCCTAGGATATACTGTAATGTGGAGTGACTATGATTTGTGGGCAAATGCAGCAAAAATTGGATCTGAGAATCTGTGAATTGTGCGTATCAGCACCTTGGGATTTCCTCCCGAAGTAGTGAAAGGCGCAATATAAATGTAAATTTGTTGTAGACAAGAATAATTTGTTGTTCCCACTTCCACTCGCCCTAACCTCCAACCCTCTTGATTCCAACCCCCAGCTTGGGTGCAAACCCTTAACTGTCCAACACCTTCCGACGTGAAGGGTGCTATATAAATGTAATTTGGACAACACAAACATGTGGATGTGTCTAGCAACTAAAATTGGAAGAGCACCACAATTCTTGCACTGTTGCACCACACTTACAGTGCAAAACAGCTCTGACCAGGTTGCGGGATAGTAACAAGGATCTTTAAAGTCCACCTGGGCAGACAAGCGTGGCCTTGGTTTAAAGTATCACCTCTAACACTGCAAACATTTCCCCCTCCCCCCGCCCCCCCAAAAAAGCACTCAAACACTGCATTGGATTGTCAGCTCAGAAAATGAGTCAAAGTCCCAAGGTGGGGCTTGAACCCAGATTCTTTTGACTCACAGATGAGAGTGCTACCAGCTGAGCCAGGCTAACACATTATTTATTATATTGTGTGTCAGCTTGGCTCAGTGGTAGCGCTCTCACCTCTGAAAAGGTGCCAGAAGGTTGTGGTTTCAAATCCCACTTTGAGATTTGAACTCACATAGTCAGAGTCAACACTCCAGTGCAGTGCCGGGCGTCTGTTACATTGTTGGGAGGTACTGTGTTTCTGAAGAGATAGTACTGTCAGCCTGATCAGGTGAACGTTAAAGATCCCATGGAACTATTCAAAAATAAAAGGGATTGTTTCCGCAGTATCCTGGCCAACAACCCCCCAAATAAAATTGTTAATTTCTTTCATGGCTATTTGTGGGACATTGCTGTGCGCAACTGTGCTGCTGCATTTGCCTACAAATAGACAATAGCTCAGTTTCACAGTAATTCCTGTGATCTTGTATGGTAATGGTGCTCCTGAAATCCCAGGATTGCAACCCATAATGGTACATCCAAATGCTGTTTTCTAAACAACGACTGTCATTATCTCAAAGCATTAAATTGGATTTGAATTTACAAGGGTACACAACTAAGGAATGCTTAGACCAGTTAGTGAAATCTCTTTGTCTGGAGTTCAATCAGCTCAACTTTGTCAGAGTCGAGGGGAAGAAGCAAGCACATATTGTTGGTCTCCTTCGTCATTTAGATCCTCCCACTCCGTGCAGGAGACATCCAGTGCAATGACCCTCTCCTGGGTATGTGCCAGTGCTGATATGTATTCCAGACACGAGCAGTACAGCTGGGCTTACATTCAAAGGGTTCAATATTTCATAAAACAGTTGAGCTTCATGTTTGTTGAGGGCGTAAATCATACAACCACAACTAAAGAATTGCCTTGTAACTCATTGCCAATTCTGTATTACCCTGAATGTAAGCAGCATTGCGCTTAAGCCAATTCATTCTCTAACCATATACGTGGTTTTCCCTTAAGACTTTTGATGTCATCTTCGCTGCATCATCTCAATGTATTTTTGCAGCCAGATTTTATCTTTCTCTCCCTCTCTCTGTTACACCCGCACACACCTTGCATTGATCTAAAACAAAACTGAAAATCTAAAAAGTAACAATATTAGAAAATTGTGATGCAACTCCCACCATTATTACCCGATATTAAACAGAGCACTTCTCTTTAGAGTAACTATTGACCAATAATCACTGCAACCCAGCAACAAACATCTGTGGCAAACAGAACGCTAGTAAAATGGAGGCGAATCATACCCATTCCAAACAAAGCATAAACGTAGGAGGCACTTTCCATTACACAATACAGACAACAAAGGCTGTTTCCTGTCATATTTTTGAAGGAATCAAAGTGGACAATTGCTACCTACAATGCAATCCCTTATTTTACATTTAAACCTTAAATTACTGGTTGAATACAACAGAAGGGTTTCAGATCTTTTCTGTAAAATAGATTCATAGTGGTGAGTCTGAAATCACTGAGACTATAGCTGCATTTGCCTTACTTACTAATAATGCTCTAAAAGACTCACACTCAGGAAACAACTTCACCAGAGAAGCAGTGGCTTCTCTCTCCATGTGTAAACACTTGTTTTTCTCTCCCTCTCAATGCATCTTAGCTAAACATTCGTTGCGACACTGCCATTCATTCATGGCACCCAGTGGGAAATAAGCAACTGAGCAAAAGTTTTAGAAGGTATGACTGAGACACATCTGGATACTCATTCAACAAACATCTTGCCACAATACTGTACTGGAAGGCAGCAGGGTTGATATTTTGAAAGCAGATTAAATTGTTTGGAGGGCCTTCTCCACCTGTATCGTTTGATCTTGTGACCTGCAGGATCAGCTATCTAAAGTTGTGAATTGTCTGAATTAGGCAAATTATTCACTAAATAAATCCTATTATAACCCAATCACTTTGTGATCACTTCAATTACCCAATAAAAGTGGATAGAGAGCGGCACTAAGTCAGTCAAAGCCACACACCGTCAACGCCTACATCAATGCCACTATGTTATCTTTTCACTTGTGCAAATTCATCCCTACCATGCATTACAAATACACAGCCAGAAACCACAAAACAAACAGCAGATTGAACAGTGCAAGGCAACACACATCTTTCTTAAGATCCTCCTTCGGATGGGGCATCAAACCAAAATCCCCTCTGCCTGTTCAGGTGGACGCTAAAGATCCCATCGTACTATTCGAAAAGAGCAAAGAGTTTCTCCTGGTGTCTTGTCCAACAATACCCCAGATAAAACTGGTCATTCACCTCATTGGTTATATGCAAATTCACTACCTTATTTGTTTAGAAAATATATAGTCATTACACTTTACAGTAAAACCGAGTGAAGCGCATAGAGACATTTTGATGATGTGATAAAGCGCTATATGAAATCAGGGATTTATTTTGTTTTTCAGTAGAGAAGCAGTGTTACGTGGGGATGGGCGGAGTGGGGGGAGAGGACGGAAGAGGGTCAAAATTGCAGCAGTTTATTGCAGGAGACAGGAATAGAATACACTTTCACCCACAAAGTGTACAGTCGATTCAACAACAAAATTACATTTGTAGAGCGCCTTTCACGTTGGGAGGACGTCCCAAAGCGCTGAACTGTCAGGTGTCGGGGCCCGAGCATGGGGGAGGGGTAGTGTAAGAGGGAGGGAAGGCAGAGTGGGAGGGCGACCAAAGGCACGGTCGAAGAGAAGGGTCTTGACACCGACCTTGAGAGATTCAAGGGAGGAAGCGAGACGAAGGGACCATGGGATGGAGTTTCAGAGTGTGGGGGCAAAGAGGCTGAAAGCCGGGTCACTGATGGTAGGGCAGGTCCAGCACGAGACATGGAGCAGGCCGGAGCCCGATGAACGGAGAGAGCGGGCAGGTTGGTAGGAAGTCAGCAGCTCAGAGAGGTAGGAGGGGGAAAGGCCATGGATGGCCTTAAAAATTGTGATTCGCTTTGCAATGTTCTGTGAAGCACTTTGAGAAGTTCCGACAACGTGAAAAGGCGCGATATCAAATGCAAGGATTATTAGTATTATTATAGAGACTCAGTATGTACAAAAACAATCCATCACAGCTGACTCGGGGGAACCCCAGGTAACTCCCGGCACTTTGGAATGGGAATCCCCTCAGTCAGCCCCGACATATTGCCAGAGCACTTGCCTCGCAAGCGAGAGACCGGGGTTCGATTCCCAGCAGGGCGAAACGTTGGGCAAGTTTCCTTACTTCTCACACCTCTGTTTATCTAGCAGTAAGTAGGAACCTGGTTATTAGTCGATTGGCAGATCGCTTTTCCGG